GGAGGGAGTTATATGTAGATCCTTGTAATCCGTTCCCCCTTCTACCCCACCCTCCCTGACGAAACCCTCATTTTTCACCCAGGGAGTAGCTGGTGGTTTTGAACTGCTGACCTTGGTGGTTACCAGCCTGGCGAGTAACCCACTATGCCAGCATTGGAGTGAATTTGCAAAGCTGAAACATTTAGTGTTTGACTATGGGATTTTTGAATTTTATGAAAAAGTAGCTTTTGGAAAGAGCTACATCTGTGGGAGAAAAGGCTACTGACTCCAACTAAATAAAAATCATAGGGATGTTCAAAACACTTTTTCTGTGATGCAATCTAGTTGTTTCAGTAAATTTTCCACTACATTGTCTTGGCTACTGGCTACAAGAATGGCTACATCTTTGGTTGACACATAGCATCTGCGTGACAGATAGGGATGTCAGTGCCCTCAAGTTGACTCTGGCTCATGACCGCCTTATGCACAACACAACGAATCGTATCCTGGTGACTTCTGAAATGTTTGAGTTCCTTGTTGCAGCTACTCTGCCAATCCACCTCACCGACGGTCTCCCTATACCTCCCTGACTCTCAACATCACCTGATATTGCCCCCAGCAATGAACCCCAATGATGGCATGCCCAAAGCAAGCCGGCCAAATAACGTTCCCCACAGAAGTTCCACTGGCTAATCTTTAGACATAGCCTCCACAGTACCACAAATGGCAGGAAGCTACTGTAGTAATAGTAATACCAAGCTGGCTCTTGGTAATATTGCCCTCATCATGCCACAGTTTCCAAACACAAAATCCAGAACGAACCTGTGACTAATGACACCAGCATCTGCCAACAGTTCAAATATTCGTACCAGCTGTACTCGTAAAATATCCCGGCGCCGGCGCCGCTTCATGTTCTATGTCAAAGACACAAAGGCATTAGCTAGAGAGCTTTCTGGGAAGGCATCGGAAAACTTGCTGCTGTAACTTAATAATCCAAATAAAACCACAAGCCATTTCACAGCCCGCCCCCGCCCCCCAACATTACTCATCTTAAAACTTTAGAGGAATTGGAGGAGGGAGGAGTAAACAGTTCTTGATTAATAAAGAATCCCAAAGGTACTCCCCCAAACTAAGGGCAATCCACTGCCATCAAGTAGATTTTGACAAACTGTCTCTTAGGGGTATTGAGACTGTAAATTTTGAAAGAAGAGACAGCCGCATATTTCTCCTGCAGAGCGGTTGTTGGGTTTGAATTTATGACCTTGGGATTAGCAGCCCAGCACTTAACCTATTGTACCACCAGAGGGGAAGGAAAAAATCCTTCTAGGGAATTTAGGAAACCCCACAGATTTTGCTTTCTACTTAAAAACTGTGGCACACCCACACAAAAAGAATACAAATAAAATCAAAACAGAAACTGTCTTGTCCATGAATCGGTGTGCATAAACACACCTTTATCACTAGGTCTAAGGTACTAGAACCTAGAAAAATACCTAGGAGACTTTAAGGTGGTTCTGCTCCTAATAAGGATTCAGAGCTTCATGGTTCCTCATTCATTTCTGTTGCTATAGAATTTTTATATCACCTACCAATTTAAAACATACTCAATAGTTTCCGATTAATCTTTTCATGTCCACAGTCCAGTGTTCTGCCTTCTGTGAGCAGGACAATTTGTGGATGACCAAGTATGCCAATTAGTTTCTTATAGCGCTCTACTTCACTGTCTTAAAAAAAAGTTAATCTAGATCAAAGGTTTAAAAGCAAACCACAGAAACTGAAAAGTTTACCTCTGGCCTTCTTTCAAGTGCTTCTTTAATTATGGGATGCAATTCCTCTATTAGTTCCCTAAAAGAAAAAGTGATATACATTGTTTTTATTACTAGCTAAACTGATACACAAACTCTCATAGTAGCATCTTTCAACTGACAGGTGTTAACCTTAATTCTACAGTCTTAGCAAAACTTTTACTGTTTTATTCCAATTATAAAATAATACAGGCGCACTGTAGAACATTTAGAAACAAACAAAATAGCTGTAACAGTTATAGGGTACTTATTCTAGTTCATAAAGTTAAACACTATCAATATTTTTGTTTAATCTGTTTCATCTGACATAAACACAGTTCAAAGCTTACCACATTTACAATGATATCCTGTTTTTAGTTAATACTATCCAAGTGCTATTAATTAAGAAATCATATTCAATAATTGAATCGGATAACAGGACTTCCATAACCATTTTCACTTATTTGTGAGTCCTTACATTTTATCCAATTTTCCTGTTATTCTAAATACTGTTCCAGTGAACACCTTTGTGCATTAACTTTTGTTTTCATTTCTGATTATCTTCTCAAGATTAATTCTGAGAAAATGAATTGATGTGCTGACATCAGGAAAATGACTGGTTTTATCTTAGCTTACATTCTGATTTTAACTAGGAAATTTACTCATTATTTATAAATTGTGAGAGAAACACACAAACACACACAGGCACAATATGAAACTTATCCAGAGTTGCACAATTTATACTGATATTTAAAATACATGCTTTGGAATTGTCTCCATTTATAGGGAATTTACTTGTTTTTTGAAGAAACAGATTATTTTTACCTCACATATTTTCAAGACACATCGATGTACTTATGTAACATAAAATGTTCTTCTAATGAATGCTACCCCACACACCTATAGATACATGATATTCTATTTTTCCGTTATACATCTTGCTATGAAGACAAACTATCACACGTTACTCATCATGTTGGTTGCAGGTATTCTCAAAATAGCAAATATAGGGCCCACAGGCAACAACAAAACAGAACCTCAAACAAAACTGAGGCCTCTGTCTCATTACTATAAAAAATAACTGGGGTGCTATGCTATGCACATGAATAGTTCTTTGAAAGATACTTTAGTTCTTTTGAACAAGAAGGGGGAAACTGGAAGGCAGAATCTAGAATTTTCATCACCAGACCAAGATGGCATATAGCTAGAATCACAAATTTCAATTAGCAGGGTAGTAAAATGGTACAGATTTAACCAACATCTTACGGTTTTTAGAAAATATTTATAGTGTCTATTTACTTTTCAACATGATCCTGTGAAGAAAATAAAGTTATACAGATTTATATATTTAAAAATTTATATGTACGTGTATATATGTACATATACACACACACATATATACATGTACATGTATATATATGTATATATATATAAACACACAGAAAGAGAGAAACCATTAGGACACAATCCAGACACCACACAATTGCTACTACAATCAGTTTTAGAGCATTTCCTTCCTTCTTGTACTCCTTGCTATTTAAACTTTATTGTCCATCAGGATCAGGGAATCAAACTCAAGAACGTGAAGTGACATGGTGAAGTTGTACAGCTGGTTGACTAGCCGCCGTCCAGCCTTGTGTGCACCCATCCTGATCACCGATCGGCCCTGTGGCCCGGCCTCCACTCTCTCTCAGTCACCACTTCCACCGCTTCCATGCGCAGATGCAACACAAGACGGTTGTTACCTGAAAGCTCCCGGGTTGGTCCTGCCAAGGCCTAGAACAAGGGACTCAGTGATTTCCATGCTCTCAGAGCGCATCATTGGAACTATGTGCTTAAACAGGGACGAAGGGGACGGGATGCCAATAATCTGAGGGGGCAGGGAGAAAAACGAATATTGTTTTTATAACAGCATCTCGGACATGCAATTGTGTGATATTAATTCCAACCACATAAATTCACATCAACCATCGCCTGGTCAGAGGATAGGAGAAACGAGAGTACGTGGCGGGGTTTCAATTGTACTGTTGCTACTACCCTGTTTCCCCCAAAATAAAAGTGTCTTATATTAATTTTTGCTCCTAAAGATGTGCTAGGTCTTATTTTCAGGGGATGTCTTATTTTTCCATGAAGAGGAATACGGTACACATTTGTTTATTGTTTTATTAAAAGAGATCTTGCACTTCCTGTCTGCTCTGGCTGTGCTGCGGCCAACAGTGAGCTGCATGGTGGTGCCCACCGCTACAGTCCAGAGTCCAGAGTTACAGTAGCATACGGGGGTGGTGGTGGTGGGGTATTTTTGGGGAGGTTTTATTTTCAGGGGATGCCTTATATTTGAGCAAGAGGCAAAACTGTAAGTAGGTCTTATTTGGGGGGGATGTCTTACTTTCGGGGAAACAGAATATGTACAGTTGGGTTGATTCTGATTCCAGGTCACCTCAGAGGGCGGAGCAGAGCTCGTCCACTGAGTTTCCAAGACGGGGATTGTTGCAAGAGCAGATCCCCAAGTCTCTCCTCCCACCAAGCTGTAGCTTGAACAGTCCGGGGAGGAGCCAGGTGTTCCACCACGGAATCACTAAGGCTTCGTATCCCTGGTGCACATAACCTAAGAGAGCTAAGTGTCTTTTCCCTTGGCTCGCTGCATGTTTGTTTGCAAAGCTGGGGCTTGTCTGCAGGTCTCTTAACTTCTTATAGGGCCTCACCTTCAAATAATTAATGATGCCCTTTGTAACGTCTTTTGACCCAGCAGAAGGAGTAAAAGAAATTTTAAAACGAAAATAGTCCGCAATGTCAGTTAGGCAGCTACCCAAGTCCTAACTTTATCCACTTCCCCGAACCTCCCCGCCCGACAATAAAATGTGGTGCCATGTCAATCTCCCGTCTGATCTTAGGAAGCACTCTTTACATCATGGCATGATTTAGAGAAATTTTAAAAAGGTAGGGGAAAAAGACCCCACTATACATATTTTTATAAAACACTGCCATTGAGTTGATTTTGACTCAAAGAACAGAGCAGACCTGCTCCCTTGGGTTTCTGAGATTTTCAATCTTTACCGGAGTGGTCAATCTCATTTTTCTCCCAGGGAGTAGCTGGTGGGTTCAAACCACTGACCTTGTGGTTAGCAGCTCAGGGTGCAATACACTAGCCATAATTAGGAAGCAATAAAAGCAGTCGTTAAGATTTCTGGAACTATTCTCATTCACATGTGCAAGTAATTTACTTCTTGATCATTTTACTTTAATGCCTTCGAAAAGAAATTTTTGAAGCAGCACTTCTCTGGCGTCCTTCGGCCTCAGAGGTAACTTACTTTAGAGTCAATGCTACAGCCGCTATCAGGGGTGGACGCCAGCGTCTCGGGCGGAGAGCACCTCACTGAACCTGTAGATGCTGAATAGGGGGTGGATGTTGCCGCACTGCAGCAAAGAATCAGGTAATTTCTCCACAGGCCGATGTATGAGTCACTACTTGTGGTTGCATTTACTTTCTTAGCATTGATGGGGCTACTGTTGGGGAACAAAAAGAAAAACGAGGCTTTCATAAACAATGCTAAATGGTCATCAATTGATAGTTGATGGTTAGCACAAAATTGTTGTAATACTAAATCACTGTGGAATTATACAACATATAAAGGTATCGTGTTAGATGGAAAACTAAGACAGGAACTACAGGAACATTTCAATGCCATCTACTATTCCTCTGATAAAAGTTAATGTTTTATCAGGACATGTTACGTAACTTATTCTAAATGTACTAACTAGGAAAAGGAAAGGAAAAAGAAAAAAAAATCATAATTATTCCCACACCATAACATCTATTCTTCTGAATATCTGCCATCATCCAGGAAGGGGCTTTACAAAATCATGAGCTAATTCTATTATCTTTTAAATCTATTTTCCCACAAACCTTCTGAAACCCTCTCATATAATACACTATAAATGCATGAATACCCTTCACACAATATAGAAGCACTGAATGTTTATTTTCTACCCACTATTCACACTTGACATGTTTTTTCCTACTGAAAACAACACATACATATGCTTAATTACTGCTTGGCATAAATTCTTGAGTATGCAATTGCAGAGTAAAAAACAGAATATACATCTTTCAGGCTGCTACCAAATTTCAGCCTCGAAAAATTACACCTCCGATTGCATAAATCTTTCCAAGCACCAAATTTCTGTTAGCATTAAGAATCGAGAGCCAAACCAAAAATCCCGGGGGGAGGAGGAGCATGCAAAAACCTCCTGAGCGACGGATGAGCCCTATAGGACCAGTGGTATGAGTGGCAAAACAGGGAGGGTAAGGGGAGAATGGGTAGGAAAGAGGGAACCGATTACATGGAACTGTGTGTGACCTCCTCCCTGGGGGAAAAAAAAACCAAAAAGGGAGGAAAGGAAAACGCCGAAAAGGCAAAGATATGACAAAATACCCATTTATAAACTATCAAGGGCTCATGAGGGAGGGGGGAGCGGGGAGGGAGGGGAAAAATGAGGACCTAATGTCGGGGGTTTAAATGGAGAGAAAATGTTTTGAGAAACGATGTACAAATGCGCTTTACACAATTGATGTGTGTATGGATTGGGATAACAGTTGTATGAGCCCCTAATAAAATGTTAAAAAACAAAAACAAAAACAAAAACAAAACCTCCTGAGCATGCACGGCCCATCCTCTAAAGGTTTGCCAGAAGATAAATAGTGAATGCACAATCTTCATTCATGTAGCAACAGGAGAATACATGTGAGAAGATTCTAGCATTGTACTGTCACAGTCAAATGAAAACAAAACCCCAAGTCACTGCCGTCGTATGGGCCAGAGAAGATACACATACACACACTAATTAAAAACAAAACATCATCATACCATAATGGGGCTAAGTATGAGGGAGGCAAATGCAGCCAAATGGGGATGAGAGAGGAATTTAACTTTTCTTTGTTTTTCTCTTTATTTTTAACATTTTATTAGGGGCTCATACAACTGTTATCCCAATCCATACACACATCAATTGTATAAAGCGCAATTGTACATCGTTTCTCAAAACATTTTCTCTCCACTTGAACCCCCGACATTAGGTCCTCATTTTTCCCCTCCCTCGGAATTTAACAGTTCAACGATAGCCATAAATGTCACATAGCACGTGTCAAATTTTTTCAGAAAATGAAATCCATTAAAGAACACCTCAAAAATCTCCCTCTGTCTATATGCAAATGCAATCGGTTTGTGATTTGCGTGGGTGTGAACCATTAAGGTTGGTGGTTCAAGTCCAGATGACGGTATCTTTGAAGACAGCCTTGGAAATCTCTCTGAAAACTCAGCCACTGGAAACCCTACAGAGAACAGTTCTACCATGATGCACTTGGGGTCCCCATGAGTCAGAGTCACCTGTTGGCAAGTAGTTGGTTGGGGTCTAGAAGGGGGCTTCAAAATGTTTATGGGAAAATTCTATTCTCTTTTATCGCAATTCTTCCACGAACTTTTCGAAGAACCCTCCTATAACGTTCTATATATCTCCACTCCTCACTTGTGAATATACGTAGGTACCTAAGACCAGTGATCACGTGAAAAGCAGTGGTAAGTAAAACTGCAGGATGGCCACAATAGATCACAAAATGAAGGATGTTTACATCATTATAGAACTGCCAAATTACACATGAACTAACTGCCAAAGTTCTGAGAATCACGGCCCAGCCAAATTGAACAATAAGCTCAACCATCGTAGCCAGTGTTCCTTTCTCCTCACCCCTCAGCGTTCATCACTAACAGGCAAACATCATTAATGAACAGAACATTCAGATGATTTTTTTTTTACAAATGTCATAAAGTTAAATGTTGTCATGAGATAACCAATACATGAAGAGTGAGTGAGTGTATATATATTTTCCAAAGAGAAGAGATGGCCACCTTGAGTTGGAGGTGTAAGAGCAGGTGCTAGAAATAAAGTGACAGTTGTATGTCTGATAGGAACATGCAAAGCTTGAGAAAACAAAAAGAATTCCATGTGTTGGGCATCTGTGTGCATGTTATGTAATGAAAAGCTCATTTACATAATCTAGGGCACGGCATAATAGATAAGGGGAAATCAAGATGCCAAACTCACATTCAAAAATTCTCTTTCCAAAATGAGGACCTAATGTCGGGGGTTTAAGTGGAGAGAAAATGTTTTGAGAATGATGTACAAATGCGCTTTATACAATTGATGCGTGTATGGATTGTGCTAACAGTTGTATGAGCCCCTAATAAAATGTTTTTTAAAAAAAATTCTCTTTCCTGTTTAAGAGCAAGAAGACGTTAACTGCAGGCTACCATGGCCTCGGCCAATTCTCCCTCAGGCCAGCCATTATTCCACACCTTCGTCATTATCCTCACTGCTATGATCACCACCGCTTCTTAGCAAGTGGTCCTCGTATAGTACCTTCTAGAGAAACAGGCTATTGACCTTCGTTCCTCTCTACTTCTCACCTTCCATCTACACACTTCTCTATACCACACCCGTCTAAGACACTTTATTTACTCTCCCTTCCATTCAGATCCACTGGATCCTTAGTATGTACCAAACACTCTGCTAAAAATAAATGAGCAAATTACAACTTGGTGAGACTGGAAAGGGGAAATCGATGATGACAAAACAGCAGGATGTGTTCTTTATATAGGCTTAAATAATGAACAGAACTTCTTGAATACGTACGGCAGACTGTACACAATATTTTAATATCAGCTGGCAAAATCACTTACTTTATATCCACCTGTGGGGACAGCAACTGAAGCCTCATGTATGCAAACATCCAAGCATAGCTCACGGCTGTAGGACAGTGTTTGGGGAGGTTTTCTTGCTTTAAAAAACTGGAGAGACTGATAATCCAGGGGTCTTGTCCTTGGGTCACATGTGCAAATATCCATATGTGTGATGGACTGACCACATCAAACTGGTGGCTGATTGGGGAAGAGTTCCACTCTGCTAATGTTTGCAAATCTATTGAGCGAGGGCAATACAGCAGTGTCGTCTGTGAAGGGGGAAGAACTGTTATTCTGATTGCAAAGATTCACCACGTACCTTGTTGAAAGTGAATGTAATCTGCTGGTCCTTTCTAGAACAGGGGTTTTGCGAGAAGCCAATCGGAGAGCCTTGAAGGTCAGTCTTTTCTAGATATATCCATTCATGTACTTTTCTGGGGGGAGGGTCTCCATAATTTCCATTTGTCTCAAAAGGACTTTCAAAAAAAAGCTGAACACTTACTTATGCAGTTCATGTATGAATACACACTTCCATAGCTATGAGAATGCAAAAACACACCAAAGGAACCTGTCTGCAGATGGGCCCTTAACAGGCATACGTAGAAAACAGGCTCATTTCTAGACCTGCACACACCCTCTTCTCACTCATCAACATGGTGGGCTCCAAAGTCGAAGTCACGATGGGAAAACGGTCCTTACAGGAAAATAGAGGGTGACTACATCATCACGTCACTGCCAAAGCCACTGAGAGCCATACCTCAGTCACAGGGACACATAACTGCCAGTGTGACTCTTGCACCACGTGGCGATGTCCTACTGCCAGATCTATGCCATTAGTGCACAAGACAGTCATCATTTTTTAAACTCTGGGCCTATCTGGAGCATGTGAACTTGGTCAATCGCCAATAATGAGGCAGCAGGTGTATCCTTCATGCCACCAACTTCACTGAGGAAGCACAGTGCCATTCTTGGCTTCAGATTTCGGTAGTTTTTCTCGCGGAGCATTTTAGCCAGGATATTACATGCCAGAGCAAACAGCAAACACCTAATAGTCAAAAGTAGTGTGAAATTTAAGGAAACCCTCTCAAACTGAAATTTTACAAAGGAAAAAAAAAGTACTTTCATGTCTGTGGGGAAGACCACTAACCACAGCATAAAATCATGCCACTTTCCAAGATGTTTGGGTTTTTAATTTCTAAAGCACGTCACTGTCTTCAAAACTACTCTCTCCTGTTTTACTTTTGCTTCAGGGAAATTCAATTTGAGTGGTTGCGGAGAGGCACAACATCGTGGCTTCAAACCAGACCGGGTGGCAGGGCATCCATGCGGTTACCTGGTCGGCCCCCGTGAGATGTATGAAGCTCTCCAGAATGGAGGGGCTCAATCTGTCCATCACATCTATGGCTAATTGATCATCACCCTGTTAAAAAAAAAGATATCATAGCACCACAAATTTCAGGAATGTCAAAGAAAAGCAGTCTCACCAAGCACACGCCAGAAATTCACTTAGCACGGCGTGTTCTACAGAGAACTGGAGGCAGGCTGGTGAGCGTGGGGACTCTAAAGAAAACTGTTAAAAGGCGAGTCTTGCTCTGACAGGGTGGGTCAAAGAAATTCTACATGGACAAAAAGGCACTGTCTGATGCTTACCTTAGGTATTTCCAAAAGTGCAAATAACGTCCGTATTTCTCTAAGGACACTGACAGCTAACCTCCTCGTGGCAGCCCGAGTGCTGCAGAGAATGACCAGGGCAAACCCTTCGACGACGTGGAACACGCTGGAATTCAGACTCCTCTCCAGAGGAGGAGGAGGAGCGGCTCCATCGGCTACACCATGCTTCAAGGACACGTTGACGCGGAAAGTGAAATAAAAAAGAAATCGATGAAGGGCCTGCCAGTAAAACGATGGAGCAAAACACGGCCCTGGCAGTTCGGATCTATGTCTCCCTCAGCTTAAGAGTGTAAACCGCACTTCAGGAATACACTGAATTCTTTCCATTCTAACCACCTGTAATATGGAATAAATACCGCTATAGGTAAATATAGTATTGTGAATATGTATACACAGATTATTGTGATATACACATAATTTATAGTATTGTGAACACTAAAAATGAAAGAAAGACGCACTTAGCTGGTAGCCTAAATATGAATTCCACAAACAACTTGGCCAGGCTCTGGCTACGTTGTACCATGTAAAAGTGAGGGGACTGGATCAGACCCCTTCTTTTCATGGTATGAGCCAAGAGCACGGCACCGCTTTTGAGAAAGAGCATCTCCGGTCCCTGATGATTCGTATGCTCATGAAAGAAAGGCGAAAGAGCTGGACTGTCTTAACTTAGTAAGCATCAAAAGACCAGGGTTCTAGGCTATAAATATCCAACTATCAACATATACCAACAATTTGAGCAGCTTATATAGATAGGAGTCCTGGTGACGCAGGGCTAAAGCACTGGCCTCTAGCTAAGCAGAGTTCACTGGTTGGAAGCCACCACCTGCGCTGTCAGAGAAAGATAGGGCAGTCCACTTCTGTAAAGATTACAGACCATGCAACCCCACGGGGCAATTCTGTTCTGTACCATAGGATCGCAGTGAGTCTGGTGTCTGTATGGTTAAGAGGCTCGTGTCTTACACATATGGAGGAAGCACTGGTACCATAGATAAGCAGCCCAGCGATCCCCATGATAAGTGCCACTGGGTGGGTCATGACTCATAGCAGCTCTCCGTACTGCAGAGTAAAACACAGCCAGCCCACTGCCATTCACAGAACTGCTGCTGCTGCGCCAGTCGAGCATCACAACCGCTGCGTCAAACTCCCACACGAAGGGCCTTTCTCTTTTCTCACCAATGCTCTATTTCACCAAGCATGATGTCCTTCTCCAGGCACTGGCCCCTCCGGATACCATGTCCAAAGTATGCATGGCAAGACCTCGCCATCTTCTCCCCTAAGGAGCATCCTGGCTGTCCTCCTCCCCACGGAGATCTGTGTGCTGTCCTGGCAGTCATGGTCTAGATTCCGTCGTCCTCACCAACACCCTCATTCACAGGCAGCATCCCTGCTCCAGGCTTCCCGAGTCTCGGTCCACCTTTCACGTGCACAGGAGGCCACTGGAAATGCATCTTGGGGCCGCCCACGCTGATCCTCAAGGTGCTATCTTTGCGTTCTAATACCCTAAAAAGATGTCTTTTGCAGCAGGCTTGCCTCTTGAAATGTATTACTTGACGTCTGAACTGCTGCTTCATGGGTGTTTGAGGATGCAATCTGCACAAGAAAAGACTGTCCTATCGTCCTCCCTTCCACTGGCTGATGGGATCGAACTGCTGGGCTGTCAGTCAGTCTGCAGGCGTGCATTTAACCATTGCACCACCAGGGCTCATTAATCCAAATGGTATACTAACAATTTTTATTATCATGTCAGCTTTACATGTATTGGAAGCACTCTGGAGGGTAGCTAGAATTGCCTCTCCACTTCTTATGTGCACTAGAAACAAACAGTTACTGTAGGAGGGAGTTTAGGGAAGGTTAGATACACAAAAACAATGTGTATTTAACAGATCGGCTATGGCAACATTCCATTTCTGGGGTCCTCAAAGCATAAGAAGTGAACCAACGTGTGCGCTAACACCACGGTTGGTTATGGACACCGATGACACACCAAGGGACAGCCCCAAAGACCCTGGTACCTGGGAGTCCTGGTTCTTGTTATGCATCTGGGCTGCTTGCTTCCATTGATTTATCAATTGCACCAACATCTTGACGGCATTATCAAGAAGCGTGGGGTGGACATCAGTCACTTCTCGAACAATGAAATAAACAAATCCTGAAAGAACATCCTCCCGCCAATCTGGAAAATCAAGCATTAGTGCCTGCAGAGTATTGAAAGCCAGAGCACGCAGTTCTTCATCCATATGAATTGTGAGCCTACCAAGAACAAAAGTGCATTAGCCAACCGAAGAACTGGTCAAATCACTCAAACGATCAATTCTTATCAATTTATGCCCTCTTAATTCTTTTGTAAGCGAGACTGACGACACGAAGCAATGCACCCCTTTCTTGTGCTTGGCGAGGTCCCTTCTTAAAAATCCACTCGCGAATCCATCAATATGAAATGGGCTTCGACGCGAATTCAGGACAATGAACTTGAGCCTACCTGAAAGGCTTTACAAAAGAACACAGGTGGAGCTCAGAGTCTACTTCTAAGATGGCTGGATCCTTCCATCACCATGTGCGATTTGACAGTCCACCAAAAAGCGCACCCAGTGCTACCTCTACCTCTATCATAGCGCTAGCTCTCACTTCTTTAGGTCTCTGTTATGAGAGGCGAGAGGAGGGCAGCGCTCCACCGTTTCATTTACAATGGCCGAGGTTTTGGTAAGATAAAAGATAAAATACGGGAGGATATGACGAAGGAAACATGCCTAGTGAAAAGTGGTAGCCATTGAATAGATACCGGTCTTGAAGGAGAGAATGAGAACAGAGCTAAGAGGAACACCACAAACGGAGAGAGCCTGGGGGAAGTGGGGGAGAACAAAAAAAGGAAATGGTGTCAATCCCAAACAGAAGGCCCTACAAGTGAGTTAAAGTCTGCATGAGTCAAGCAAAGAGGCTACGTTCAACTACTTTTGCAAGACAGCAGCCCAGTCTGAGACACGAACCTAACTCTGGCCACAGGACGTAAAGCAGAATGCCAGGCAGAAGGTGAAATGCAAGAACCTGAGCAAGGGCTGCCAGTATGTCATATGACTGCCGGGAGTTTCGGGTTTGGGTCAAAGCGGATTCTTGGAGTGATTGACTCTACGAATAAACATTCATCAGAGTAAGATAAGTAGGCAATATTAAAAATAATGCCATGATTACATTCTTGGGAAGCTGTTCTCCACAATAACAGAAGAAAGAAGTGTAGGAGAAAGGAGTGATCACAGTCCACACCCTGGGAAGCTCAGAAGTGGTCTTCATGAATCCAGCCTTCAACTGACGAGGAGGCTGGCGAGAAACGGAGCTACCACGAGACAGACCTGGGAGGCCCCCACAGGGAAGTCAGCCCCTCAGGAGGATCCGCCAGGCTCAGCAGAAGGAGCTCTAACTCAGTATCCGATCTCTGATCAAGGCACCGAGGGACGTGACGGGTGAGAGCTAAGCGAGTATCCCTCAAGATACTGATCTCAAAGGTTATTTCAAAAATCCCTCAAACCTCTGAAAGTGCGAGTGGCCATCTCACACCTCTCTGGGTGACTCAGCTGCAGCAGCTTCAGGCTGGCACGGTGGCTTAAGAGCTGAGCAACAATCACGAGGGCAGCCTGGCTAATTAAAGGCAGGGGAATTCATTCACTTCTTTTAGAGACGGCCTACAGCTCTACAGTCGCCTTGCCTGTGTGTCTGCTGGCCTCATTTTTACGTGAACGAGGTTTAGACATCATGATGCCAAACAAGAGGAACATTGGACAGAATGGATCCCAGAATCCAGCTTTCCACAGAAGCCGATCGGGCAATTGAGGCACTTGGCTGCCGTGGAGTCAGACTGATGGCCACCCTGTGACTGGTCTGAGGCCAGGCCTGTCTTCTGAGATACCTCACGGTGGGCTCCAACTGTTGGCTGGTGTGCAAGCGCTTAGCCATTTGCACCATGTGGTTACGCCCGAGAAATTGACCAGTAAATGAGTAGAGCAGGGGAGGCAGCACAGTAAATTGCTGCCTTGTTCACCAGCCTTCCCCACCTTCAGGCCTGGCTGATGCATTTTCATCTTTGGGGGAGTTCAGGGAGCAGAGTTCTTCCTCCACCACCCCCAAGAGGTAGGGGGGTGCATTGGAAGTGTGGAGGAACTGCAGAATTGAATGGCAACCATTTACTGCTTTCCCCAAGCCCAAACAAAAAAAAGCCCACTGTCAAGTCGAATCCGACTCACAGCAAACATCTATAGGGTGTCTGAGGTTGTAAATCTTTACAGGTGCAGATGGATGGGTCCGTCCCCCTCAAACCTGGTGGGTTTGAACTGCCAACCTTGGGGTGAGCAGTCCAATGCTCACAACCAGCAGCGCCACCAGGGCATCACGCTTTCCCAGAAGCAGTAATAAATAACTCAAACTTCCTTTCCCCTCTAATGTTGACATAAACCTTTATACCTGTGCAATTTAGCTCACAGGAGAAAAAAAATTAAAGAGTGGGACAGAATGAATTTATTTCATGGTGCAAAATTTCAAAGTAACACACCCACCCAACACCCATTTTTTGTCCTTATGATCAGAAAGGTAGACAATTACCATTCTGTCTCCAGTTGTAACCTTTTATAGATGAGGCTAGGGGGGGATACATGGGTGTTGGAGATGAGGGGTGTTCTCGAAAAGGAAGTAGAAAGAGCGGTCTGTTACTATTAACTTGCTTATTATGAGTCTAACCTATATCTTCACGGTAAATACCTGGTAACCAGTAAACATCTTTTGAGATAAGATTCACTGTTCTATTGTGCTCCTTGGTGGTTTTCCATAAAGGAAAAGGCTGGCAAAATAGGGACCCATCCAGACTGGGGCCCCTTTTCATAAATACAGTTGATGCTTAAATAACACAGGGATTATGGTGTCAGCCAACACACCAGCCAAAAATCCACATGTCACTTTTTATACTAAAAAAGCTAAATTACTATTGGCCTACTCTTGCCTGGAAGGGAGTGGTACCAATAACAAAGTCCATTAGTATGTGTTATCTCTGTTTATAGTGCACCCACATAAAGGTTACACCCCCCACAATGAGATAAGGAGTGAGAGGTTTCCATGTCCACCTGGGCATCCTCAAACTACAGCCCACGGGCCACATTTATCCAGCCCGCTGGGTGTTTTTGCCCCATTTGATTTTTTACTTCAAAATAAGATAGGTGCAGAGTGCATAGGAATTTGTTCATAGTTTTTTTTTAAGCTATAATCCGGCCCTCCTACGGTCTGAGGGACAGTGAACTGGTCCCCTGTTTTAAAAGCTTGAGGACCCCTATATCGGCTTGGTTACAGTGCAGACTTCATGGATTTCCTATCATGTTTTCACAATGGTCCTTACACTGGTCCTTACATTTAGCTTGAAATGGCAGGCAACCGCTGTGGGGCACCACCTGGGGTGCATACCAAGCCGTCTCACTGTGCTTGAAATGCCACAGAGTTGCTTCTTAGGAGCGCTTTCAGCATCACTAGCAATCTTTCTTACGGGTCCCACTGCGTTACTCAAGGTTGATGTTACTGTACGCAGAACCATGCAAGATCACGTCTTCCTGCAACATGCAACCTACTGGAGGAACCTGCTGTTCACCCAGGGATGATGAGCTCACATAGGCCCCACAGCGCTCCCATCCCTTTTGTTTGAGGGTCAACTGACGTTTTATTGGACCACAGCCACAACCATTCCCCATCTGTTGTTCATGGCTGCTTTGATGCCACATTGGCAGAGATGAGTGGCAGCGACAGAGACAACGTAACCTGCAAAGTATATTTACTGTCTGATCCTTTGTAGAAAAGTTTGCTAAACTCCCACCCCCCAGCCTTGGGAATCCTTAACTTTATCATCAAAGGGTTGTCACCTCAACTTAGAGCTATTTGGGGGGAGGAAATAGATTGAACTCTGGTTATAGTATTATTTGCATAGAGCTATGGTGTTCCTAATAAAGGGAGGAGGGGGGCGGGGAGAGAGAAAAAGAACAAAAACTTGAAGCCTCTGAGTTCTGCCCTAAGAGAAAATGGGCAACAAAGCAGTGGTCACCATCCTAGACCCTGAAGAAATAGTTGCAAGAAGTCAATACAATCATTGTCTCAGCTATACCATCCACCCAAGGAAACTCTCCAGATGGGAGACACTTAGCAGCGACTGTTGTAACTGTTGTACAGCGTTGACCCAGAGCACATAGGATCACATACAAGAACTGAAAACCAGGATTGATAACCGAGTGTGTAAGGGACTAAAGGTTAAAAATGACTGGGGAAAATGTATTTAACGAGAAAGAAGTGATCAAATGAGAGGTTAATAAAGTAAGTCGAATGAGGAGTTAAGGAAATGTCTTTACTACCACTTTTTGGTGACAATAGTCATAAGGGTGAGTTCGAAATGTGAAGGGCTCAAAAGAGAGACAGAGAAACCCAATGAAGGATCATTCTTACTTACCTTGCTAACAGTTCAATGAGATCCGTTCTGCTCATGCCATCGGGAATCAATCGTGGAATAGCAGCAATACATGTTCTAAACAAATCAATTTTGGGTTTTCTTTCCCCCCTGAAAAATATACGGGGGTAGTGAGGGTTAATCAGCAGTACAATGCATCTATGTTATGGGCTAAAGTATGCCCGCCCACCACACCCCCAAACGTGTTGTGATTCCTGATCTTTTGGTAGCTGAGGATGTGCTCCTGACCGGCACAGAGTTTTCTGCATTAATGTTCATAGGACCCTATCCGACAGCAGGGTATGTTTTACACCAAACACTTGTGAGATGTAAAAGAAGCAGATGAGGAAAAGCCAGACGCCGTACTCCATGAAGATCCCTGAGGAGATGAAAAGCAACCAGGACCTTCCCACAGAGCTCATTGAGTGAGAGCACCTTCCTCCGGAGCCAGGGCCCTGACCTGGGACCATAGCCACCTCATCTCCAAGAACACACAGTCTGTCTGCTGAAGCCATCTGCTGTGGTAGTCCTGGAGTAGCAGTACTAGGAAGCCAAAACAATAAGCTAGACAACAAAAGCAAACTTGGAAAATGAAAGACAGAAAATAGGATGCCCGCAAAGGGGGGAGGGGAAGGATTTAATATGGAAAAAACCTCATACAAACCCATAGAAAATTAGCAGTTTAAACATGGGCAAAAGGATAGGGACAAAATTCAGGGGGGAAGGAGCTGATATCAAGGACTCAAGTGGAAAGGAAACATTTTGAAAATGATGGCAACAAGTGTACAAATGTGCATGGATTGTGACAGAGTTGTACAAGACACCAATAAAATGATTTAAGAAAGAAAAATATCAGGGGGGAAAATTCAGCTAGAAAGCAAAAAGATTTTTAGCAATTACAAAAGAAGCAAGATGATTACCATGAAATGTAAGATAAAAACATTTAATAAATTAGTCGTTTCAAAAAAAAAACAATTTTATTAGGATGGTAGTATATTTCACTTTGACAGGGCGATTGGACATTATTTAACATCTAATTCAATATGGTCCTTTTAACAATGGATCACCAAGAGAAAGGCGGCCATGTCGTCCTGAGCGCCGAGCGCATGCCGGGGAAGGGCAATTCAGACGGCACTGCTAACTTTCTGCAGGAGTGAAACGTCTCAGCTTTCACTCAGGGAGTGGCTGGTGGTTTCCAACCGCTGAGCTAGCCACTCGGCCACAGGGATCCAATGAAAAGAAAGGTAGAGACTAAAAGGATGGAGGTGCCCCCAAGGAAATAACACAGGCCAACCAGCCCTCCCACCCCCGAAAAACAAAGGATTACGTCAAAGAAACAAAGATATATTCGCATATATGAGTGGGCAGTAACTATAAATCAAATAAAAATACATGAGGTCAAATATCCGTGTTGGCATTTGAGATGCATGATGCAGGCATGAACGTTCAAGCAAAACCCCTGTTTCACCCCAAATATGTAGATGTTACTTCCTGGACAATAAAAAAGTAGTTGCCATCCTCCTGATACGAAATGCTCTTAACAATAAAGAAGAAAGACGCTGGGGTTGAGAAGCCTGAGGAGCAGCGGCAGGGCTCGGGGTGAGAGTGGTGTGTAGCGGGCTACTGGGTCCAAAGACAAACGCACGGCCAGACCTCATACACCACCTGGCACCCCTGGCTCCCAGGCGACAAGTATCAGAGTTGCAACTTCCAGGTTTCCGTTCCTAATTTTTCAGGGTTCTGGGAATCAGCATTTGTTGAACTTCATAAACCAATCAGCCTGTATAGCTGGACCTGCTAGGATTTATCCACGCCTCGGTGGCATAAGTAACCACCCCAAACACTGAGACCCAGGATACCTTTTGCTAGCTACACTTATTAAAATAGTAACAATGAAACGGCACTCTTGGAAGGAGAGATCGCGGTCTCCAAAGCAGTAGCAGATAGAGCTGTGTGAGCACTCCCAGAGGAAGTGAGGGGGCAGGTAAGCGAGGGTACCAACCCACATACTTTCATGGAAAGCAATGACAACAGTGAAGGTAGAAGGATTGGCTACGTACGTAATCATATCTTCAGGCTCCTTATTAGACATCTGCACACTGGTCATACACATTGGCCTCCCAACTTCTTTGTCCAAATGCCTGAGGATGCTATCTAAAGCTTTTCTCACTTGAGGGTAATAAACAGACATTCCTAGGGAGGGAACACAAAACAGACCCCACAGTTACAAAATGTCCGGGATTAGGTAAAGGATTCCGATAGCCATTTTCTGCAAACAGTGACAGTGGCTCACTGCTGCCACAAATGGGGCCGTTTCATCTACATGTCCACGCAGCCGTCTCTCCGATCGGTTTCAATACAGAGTCAAAATGGCGCGATCATTATGCAGGCCACTAAAATGAACGTGGAGGCGGAAGAGGATGCTGTGGATAGTATTGTCTCATGTGGAAAACAGAGCTAACCAGAAGACTCCTAAAAGGAATAACTGCCAAACGTGGCAGGAAGAGTATTCTTTTTGTATTACTGTGTACACAGAGGCAAGTACCGCGCAGCCTCAATCAAAGTGTGTTCAAACTATCACAAGGCATTACCAGGCAATGCATTATTCTAATTACCACTAACCTATGACCTTTGCTTCCTCATCTGTCAAGGTTTTATTGAGAAAGATTTTCTTTACACGTAGAGTATTTCCTGAGGGAAGAATAACTCCTGTTGTTGGCATGGGTGGTTCTCCATCCTTCTGTTGCAAACTGTCCGCGATTACAAGGAACACCCTGAGGCCTATGTTCATTCTCTTCAGGGGAAAAAAAGAGAAAATGTGATGGTTAGCTCCGCTCAACAACAATTAACCTTCCGGTCAACTTTTAAAACTAGTCCAAGCATTACAGTTTCCATTAATACCAAATTCCCTGATGTCACACATTCGCGGCTCTCCTACTGTCTACAAAGTTTAGTTCAACACTCCTTCAACTTTCCTCAACGCCTAACACTCCTTCCTCTTCTCTGTAAGCAGCACTCTATCTTCATAGAAAGACTTATTTAGCTTCAATCTTTCATTATGAAACACCCTAATCTACACTCATAAGGACACTTCTCTTACCTCCCAATTTTTCTTGATATATTTAGTTAGAATCCTGTGTGTTCTTACGTTTTCAGAAACATCACACTACCAATCATCTTCTTGATTCCCCATGAAAACAGTGCTGGCAGTTAGTAAAGGTTAAAGGAATGATATTTCTTAAAGAATTTTTTTAAAGTATTATTTATCTAAAATCAAACCGAGCTCTTGTCAAAACTTCTATCCAGAAAACTTTCCTTCTAGAATATTTCCTACCATGCTTATCATGAAACCACTCAGCCAGCCATCAAGAAACTGTTATTCTTTGAAAAATCCCAAAATAACAATATAGGCTAGTATAGCATTTACAACTATATATAATTAGATTACCTCTGGGTTGATGGTGAAAGTTTTTGTAGATTTTCCAACACTAAGAAGATCAAATATTATTTCTTTCATTGCAAAATCCAAACGTTCCTAGAAGAAGAAAGGTCAGGACATAAGTCTTTCAAGTTCAGAAATTTAGTACTTTGAAAATGATTATTAATATAGGATTTAATTGTAAGATAAATGGTATACCAAGGATGTGTAAACACCTTGCTCCAATTCTCTACCAGAATAAAATTCCTTTCAAATGCCAGCTCACTTTGTTTTTCCTGGAGATTTCTTTCCTGGAGCCCTATTCTTATTCCCATGTAGACTCACAAGTCTCTAGGTCAGCAGATAGTTACCATCTGCCTGTCATTATCATTCTAGGAATTCCTTGACTTTTGGCTTCTACTGGATGCCCTTTTAATGGGATGCCGGTTCTTCTTTCTTGGCTTACTTCCTTGTTTTGAATAATTACACGAGAAAGAAAAAAAAAGTTTAAGTAGTGGTAGCTAACAGATCAAACGTTGAGATTTTGATAGTTTAGTTGGGTATGAAATGCGAAGCTTCATTGCACCTTTCCTCAGAATTTTGAAAGATAATGATGTTCTGTTGTCTTCTAGGACCCAGTCCTGCTCTTAAGAACCTGGACATCATTCTCATTTGCTATCCAAGTTGATTTATTTCATTTCTGCACTATCATGAACCTTTATGTCTTAACTTCCAGTGCTCTGAAATTTCACGATGATATTCTTTTGAACATTTTTCTTTGCTCCTTTATTGTTTAGTCCCTTTCCTAGAAGATTTGGTCTACTCACCATCTAATCTCAATTCTGATGATCTTTAAAATTTTTGGTTTCTGAATTTTTTTTCCAGTTTAATGAATGTTCCCTGTTATTAGCTTTATGTTCTTGTTTTAATGATATAATGTTTAAATATTAGAACAGATTATAGATTAACATTTTATAATAACTTGCCAGTAAACCACATACTAATAGAAATATTCTGTTCAATTACTTTCAAAGCTGACTCACAGTTATCATCCTAATGTAACAATTATTCTCTGACTACTACAGATCTATTCAATTTAATACAATAAACATCAATGTACTTAAATATTTTTTGGAAATCTACCATATGTAGGTCAATGTGGATGAACTATTTTCTAAAACTCTAGGTACATACTGCCAGAAGCTACAGAAGAAAATATGTGAACCACAGGAAATGCTGCTTTTAATCACACAAACTTAACGAATGGATTTCAAAATACTTGGCCAAGTGCTATTTTTCTATGGAATAATAGTTATAAAAGGATGTGTGTACAATCATAGTGGGAGAATCAAAGGGACCAGAGATCATTTTCTAATGATGCACCCTTCCAAGTATGGGAGGGGCGACAGACTTCTTGAATCACAGCAGCTTATTAATTTATCTATTTTATACAAAGGAATTACCACCCCACCAAAGCTATGTGTAATAGTTAAGGTTTATTGTGCCAACCTGGCCGATAAATACATGTAGGATTAATTGAAGGGCAGAGAGATAAGTGGCTCTGTGAGCCTCACCTTTCTAGTTCTCTGGTCCCTTATTCTCTGATGGTCGGACCAGTGCGTGGCTGCCTTAGCTAGTTCTTTGCCTCAGCTGGCAAGGCTCACTTCCTGTGAGACATCCGTGAGGAGAAGCTACATGGACCTACCCTGATGCAGCCCTGGGTGCTGGAGAAGCCATGTGGAGACCCCTGCCAGCGCTGAGATGCTGAGATGCTTACACGCTCACTGATTTGGCTTTCCTCCTGTAGTTGGCATCATTGCGTGTGTTTTGTGAGATTGTGGAGGACTTTGTAGATCAGTGTCGGACATATGAGCTAATGTTGGACTGGGTTGGGATGCTTTCTTAATATACACTTACCCTTTATGTAAAACTCTCTTATATACATGATTTTTGTGGATTTGTTTCTCTAGTCTACCCAGACTAACACACTATTTAATTTTTTTTTACAAAATAATCATCACTTTCAAAGTTCTCTCCATTACACGTAAAACATATGTCAAATCTGCAATTCCATTCTTGCTCAACTACCCCCTTACGTGTATCGCAGATTTGCTGCTGATACTGAAACTAGCCTTAAAATAACGTGTGTCGGTGGTTATGTCAATTTGATGTGTGACAGCATCACACTGAAAGTAAACTGGCACTTGGAAAGCAGAAAGATATATTCATTAAATGGAGACATACTCAGTAACATATACTCATTTTGTGCATATATATATGTATGTGTGTGTGTGTGTGTGTGTGTGTGTGTATATATATATACTGTGAATCATTTAAATGCTCATCGTTAAAGTTCAAAGGGAAAGCAATAAACCCTCTGGAAACACGGGGTCATCCTAAGTGGAGAAGGTGGCACATCTCGATTCTGTTTTCATTCCAGATATGCTTCCCCGGGGCTAACACCCCAAAGCAACTGTGACTAAGCCTTTGGTAAGCTCACCGAACACCTTTTCAAGGCCCTTCTAATTAGCTGTCCTTTTTCCCAAGGGCTAGGAAGTTAAATATTATGTGTGCCAGATTTCCTTCTTTACTAAAGTAGGGTTCCAGCTCTCAAGCCTGCCAAGTTACTCTCCTGTGGGCCTTTGACTGGGGATTGGAGTGTGAGGTGACGGACAGGGAGAAAGGAATGGATTTTACGGATCCGGGTCATGGTGGAAGCAACACAGTTCTTAAGCTATTGTGGTTCCTTATTTGCTGGGTGTTTGATGTGGCAGAGGCAGCAGCTTCCTGGACCGCTCAAGTCAGCTGTTTCCTCTTAGTTGTCTGGCTCAACTGTGCTCTCTTCAGCACTTCAGCCATAATTATGTATAAAACCCCTTTTTTTAAAGTCCCTTTTGGCTTAATTAGGTTCAGTGTAGTCTATTATCTGTTGCTCTGATCTCCGATGAATGCAGACATTAATCTAGAAAAATTGTCTCTAAGAAATCTTGAGAGATAACCAGCAAGTGATTTAATTTGCATGTTTTCCTTTTCACTCTTGTCAACAGGCTGTAACTTTTCACTCTTCAACATGAAATCAATTGTTTGGCTATCATGTTTGTAGGCTGACTTGAGTAACAACATTAAAACTCCCACTTCTTCCCACAGGATGATCTACATGGATACGCGTATTACCAGGTAAAGCACTCACCTGAGCAATGAACTGAATAATCTTCACAAATATATTCAGGGGTGTATCACGAGGAACCACACTACGTGAACCTTTTGGGAAAAGTGCTGACACTATACTCATAAGACGACTAGAGGGAGAGAGAAAACAATTCGAAACAAGATGAAGACATCAACAGCAGATTAGTCAAAGCTTCTTCCTAGTTCTTTATAACATGCCTATAATAACCTTTCCCAACACAGAGAATTCATCTTTCAATAATTTTCCCCAACAAAACAGAATTCATCTTTCTCCTCAAGATCATCTCTAACATTAACTGAAATTCCATCAGCACAGTATTATTAAACAGAATTTCTTTTCAAATCATGTTTGAAACATGGGCACTCACCTTTGAGTTACAGTGTTGCTTTCACATTTTATTCTAATTACATAAACCCACAACAACCTATACAAAGATTCCAGTGCAACTCGAGACATTTTAGGATCTTTATTCTGTTTTGAAACAAAAGAGAATTAAAACAAACTTACTTAGTAGCATATGTGCAATTGGTTCAAATCAAATACATTGTTAGCCAACAATTTAAAGCCCCCTCCCCGATTTTGAATGCAGTCTAAAAGAGGCTTATGGTTTAAGTACATACGTAGTATATGTGGTCAAAGTAATCATAAATAAAATTGAGTCCTTGCTCCAAACAAAATACCAAAACTTTAGAATCATGTAAAGATTTCTAACTCTAAAATTAGAGAGGCATCAACTGATGGTAAATGATTGATACAATATTGACATTTTAGAAGAACCAAGGATTACTCATATCTGGTGTACTTGTTTGCTGGTAAAAACCTAGAATACCGATGGCTATTATCCTCACTTGAGTTCGTGAAACAATGTAAAGTATGCACAAGAGGGGGCTGTATAGTGAATTACGAGCATGGGCTCTGGAATTAGAACTAAATTCCAGTCAAAGCTGATTTGTGAAAATCGTTTCATCTCTTTGAGCCACATCTCTCACCTCTGAAGTGGAGACAATGCAGTCCTCCCGCAAAGACTAAGGACGTGAGGCCCACAGCAGTCAGAAGCACAAGGCCTGCGGAGTGTTGGATGCTCAACGCCTGGGAAGCATTACCTTCTCACTCTGATTTACAAGTAGAACATGATGCCACTTTGATCGTGATTTGATGATCGAACCTTTGCTTCGTTGTAGCTGTTGCTAAAACTGGCATTTTCAAGTGGCTAGAGCTGTACTATGGGCCTTTTAGTATGAATGTTGAAAACGCAGCTACGTATCACCTAGACTAGGCGACGCTCTCTCTACTGCTATGACTTGGACTGAGGATGCACCGATGACTGCACATGTACAAGTGTCATTTGGTGTGCGGGGTTTCTGACTGTGGCGCCACTGCTGCTGTCACTCTGTCCTCAACTCAGTCCTCTGTGTACCCACAGAGAAGAGGTTTTTAAATACCAAAATAATTTTCCTATTCTTTAAAAAATTTTTTTCTTGTATTCCTATAAAATAATAAACTTATTGCATAGGATTAGGCACAAGATAAAAGAGATAATATCTGAGGACAATTTTTTTTTCAAATACAGAACCACTAGAAAATGTACATGAAGTGGTTTGTATGTCTTTCAATCCAATGATTTGATACCAAGAATAATGGAGACTTATTTAATTAACAGATTTATGTCTTATTTGGAAGTATTTTGCTAAAATATAAATGAGCATCCACTGCAACTTTTTCCACTGCAGCTCAATGTGATTGGTTATTAATGAAGGCTGTTTCATTTGGGAAGGACAGAGATTTACAAACACAATGACTCTTGTGACACTTGCTACCTTCTGAATGTCTGGCTTGTCTTCGACTTTCTACCTTCCATGTGGCTAATGCATACGCCAATCAAGTCTCAGGGTTACAACGATCACGTCATTGCCAGGTCTGTAGAAACCCCAAATTTCAAATACACTTCCCAGACTCACTCCTGTGCCCCCTGTGAAGTTGTAACTCACAAAGAACAAACCTCCATGTTTAAAACGCATTTGGCTGAAAGTAATTTGTTGCTTTAGTGTGTTAAGAACGTAGCCAATATAAATTCCATTTTTGAAAGTAAATACTAGACTTTATGTGGAAGGCCATCCAGTTTTTATTAGCTGGGTACACAATACTATAAAGAGCCCCAGGCTCATCATCTCGGTGAAGTTATTAACGTCTACTGGCAATCATTTTTGTAAAGGTCAACATTCAAAGACAATCAATGATGGAAAGTGTTATCTGAGATATCACGCAATTAGTTCTACGAACACTCCAAATAGCACTTTCATACTCTTAAAACACTCTCTTTTCAAATTGCGGTTAATAAAATTATTAAAATACATGAAAGGGTTCAAGTCCTATTCCATATAAAAGCCATTCTCATGTACACTGTTACACAGAAAAGTTATGTGGACAATCTTATTTTAAGGAAGGAGATGCCGGCAAGAACAACCTTGGATTTCAAACTTCCCAAGAGGGAAATGTTGACAAAGCAGATTTACGGTATACCGCACGATGTCAAAACAACATGATGGAAAGTGATAAAACTTAATGTTTTCTAAGTCTCACCAATGCAGTTATTTATATGTAAACAACATCCTCAATTTATATATAAATTTAAAACATTTCTAAACCAATATGAGCCTTACGCAAAATAAAGTTAAATAATTTTCTAGTTATACTTTTGGTCTAATCTGAACAATCAAATTATCTCCACCTGATCCCCCACCTCCCCCCAAAAAAAACCCAAACAACTCACTGCCACTGAGTCAATTCCAACTCTTATCAACCCTGTAAGACAGCGTCGGACTGCCCTCATGGGTTTCCAAGATTTAACTCTTTACAGAAGTAGAAAGTCTCGTCTTTCTCCCAGAGAGAGGCTGGTGGTTTCAAACTGCTGACCTTCTTCTTATGATAAACATATACACTAAGAAAATGCTTGTCATTCAACATGTTCACATGGACAATTCAATGACATGGATTATGCTTATCAACCATGATAAGCATGGTTATCTTGAGCATTCTTCCAAATCATTCCGTTACCATTAACAGAAACTCAGCGCCACCCCCCATCCCAGGGAAGCAATTATTTCAATATTTCTTCTCTTTTCCCTGAGTAAACGTTTTAAGCATCCATTCTCCAAAATCATATTCAAAATCTAATTCAATCTGCCTTGAATTTCCCTGAACAATGAATGCTTCATTTATAACAGTAGACAATGTGAATTTAGGCAGAACATGTGACAGCTGTGAACTTGGGTGAAGGAGCCGCATTCAGTACTACTTCCCCCTTGAGTTCATCTGCTTGGGGGTCACATTCATATTAAAACTTCTGGAGGATATCCCTGTGTGCTACATGCTTCTTCCATAACACCAGAAGTGGGTTTGGGTAAAAACATTAGACATGCAATGCAACAATGAGTAAAGGAGGGAATAAAAAAAAAAAGCCACACATTTAAAGGAGATAAAGCAATACTTTACTTCGTAATGTCCACTCAACTCACCTGGAGTGTTTCTATTTGTTTTCTGATACTGTTGTTAGATGGCATCTAAATAAAGCAATGTGAGACAGCAAACAGAACATGAGATGCCGCACATGCATGTTAGATGAAAATAAGCACAAACAAGACAGCTCTTCACCAAGGTCTCTATTTAGGAGAAATTTGAAATTTCCAAGAAAGTGGCCACAAGCACTAAGAGAACAAAGAACATCCCATAATTTGGGCATCATAGGATACAGCCCCGATAATCAACCTCAGAGTAGGGTTCAGCTTTGTGCTACTTAATTTTTCCTCTCTTAAGTACTGCGTTTAGGTTCAGACAGCCTCCCAGATGATGAGAATCAGTAAGCAAACACTGTAGGGTGGGGGTAGAATTGCCAAACGATGTCTCTATAGTACCTACTTCTTATTCTGACCATTCTTATTTCTTATCATAATTCTTATGGATCACAAGCTTTATCATCACTTTTCCACATATGCACTACAACATATAGAAAGATTGGGGAGGGGGAAAACTACTACATTTTGCTTGGGGGGAAAAAGCAAAGACAGTATTTTCGGTGAAAATAGAGTAACGCTGGCCTGCTTTAATAGGGGCGTATAGGAGGAAAACTTATTTATTATGGTCACCAATTTTTAAAAAATGATATGGTGGTTGGAAAAGCACTGCCCAGTAATTTAAGGTATCTTGAAAATTCATCAAGTTTAGTCTTAAGACTGCAGGTAATCGTGCCTTTTTGTTATGTCAGAATTATAGCCCAAATATTTTTAAATATTCAGTACACCAACATCTCCTCTTGCACGCAGGGAGCAGGGTGGTCCTGGAAAAGCAAGGGATGTAGAACTGGATGGATCTGGAAACAAATCCTCCAATTTCTCTGATGGGCTCCCTCAACATGGGCTACGTGTTTACTCTTTTCTATCCCAGCTACAGTGGGAATTAAATGTGACACTGTATTTAGAGATTCCGGAAAATGGTAAATATATTAATGGTAAATTAATGGTAAATATACAAATCAGTGTGAAGAAGTGGTGGATCCAATTAAGGAGAAAATGGTAAAGGATTCTTTTAAAAACAAGCAAATATTGTTACAAAACAGAGTCAATTGAGGTAAGACTTTGACTTTGGGTCAATTTCACCTTTGTAGAAAATGAGTTTCCTCATTACTGACAGTTTACAATAGGTAACTCGCTCATTTCGGCCTTACGTTGCTCAACTGCTTACCTCAACTGCACAGAGCAGCCACAGTATCGGAAAACATAACCAATGGCAGCCAACGTATAGAATTTCTTCTGAATAGAGCCTTCAGGTAAGTTAAGGGTTAATGGCCAAGACAACTATCTTGCAAGGATTCATGCTACCTGGCTCTTATCTCCTTTAGACTGCAGACCCAGGCTGACAGACCCATTCATGAAAAAGGACAATATGCCAGAAGCGTTTAACAGGAGTTAAGGGTTCAAAGAAAACAAAGCATTTGTGAACGAAAGCCTGAAGGCATAAATAATAAATAAATAGGTTGCTGCGAAAGTATTGCTAATGTGTTAGGTGGAAACGTGTATACATTTTATATATACATATATATATATATATATATATATAAAATTTCCAACAAGCAACAGAAAAGTATGAACTGTCACGACACAAAAGCAGCCTTCCAGAAACACTTGAATGCAGGTCTTACTATATTTCATTACAAATAGGAAAAAACATGCTACCAGGAAAATGGTGAAAAGCCACAAATGGGCCCATGCCTGTAGGAATTATTCAAAGGAGGACAGGAGGGAGTATACTAAGATTCATTAAGTACGACTTTATTTCCTAGTGGCATGACATATAGGGCCTTAAGCCAGGGGGTTGTGTCAATTCTTATCGGAAAGGGATAGGCATGGCTATATTCCTCGGAGGAAAATAAAGCCAAAGCTGTTTCCCGAAGACTGACTTTTTGGTGTCCTGACCAAGAAACCAAGGCAATTCTGACCAGGATCAATTTAGGATACAGTTTTGCAGTGGATTAATTCCAAAAATTGGAAGGAGGAGCCAGCCCCATTTCTCACAATGACAAAGGGAGCAACAGGCCAGGGACATGTCACTTAATCTACCGGAGCCTTGTTTTCATTATCTTCAGGGTATGAGGTTTTTAATCCTGACCCTGATTTACAGGAATGTTGGGAAACCAGATAGCATGTCTGTGGAAGCCTTAGCAAATATCCAAACAGGCTTGCTTCATTTGCATATGAAAGCAGCATTCAAACCAAGCGTTTGCATGCAGGCAGAGAAGGAATGCCCCCAGAACCAGTGCCAGGCAGCACCTGCGCTCTGAATGGGGGAAAGAGCTAGGGATCCTGCTAGCAGAGGATCTTGGGCAGATAATGACTGGTCCTTCAAGCTCTCACTTTGGGTTTCATAGCACTGGCACCATCGCTCCTTGCTTTAAGTCAGAGCTTCTATATCTGTGAGGATCCAGCAGCTGCAGCATACTTCTGAATGTGGCTGGACATAATTGCATTAAATGTGCTTTTAGTGACATTTCATCTCCAAAGTCGTCAGATTTTTGTAGTGTTCAGATTTGACGGACTTTTCTCAAAGCACAAGCACAAAGTCAGGTGCCTGGAGTTCTGGGGGCAGGTTAATCAATACTATGCAGTTCCAAAGAAACTCACGTAGGAACACATCTCTCGAGACCGTAGGATCCTATAAGCAACAAGCAATGGAAGTGCACAATTTTGCGTTCATGAAGACAAATGCAATATTCAAGCAAATGTATTTTGCGCGGTTCCCTGGAGAGAGGCTGAAGTTTGTACAAGGAGAAGAAATGGTGTGACGAAGCATTATGATTCGAATGTGCCATTAGGAGGGAAAGTTTGATTACAGTACTTCTCAACAGATGTGCATCAATAAAGAGATCATGGTTGGTGTTTACAGGACAGGAATGAGATCTTACCTTTAAATGTGACAAACAGTTCTGTAGGAAAATATGCCAGTTATTTAAAAAAAACTGTTTCTGACTGACACAAAGAAGGCAGGTAATTAGTGGATACAAAGCCTATAGGAGATAAGAAAGGGGGAATTAACGTCTTTTCATGGAAAAGTCCTGGTCTTGCCAGGGATAACGCAATCAATTCTCATAAACACATAAAGAGATCAGAATCTTTTATGCAGTTTTCCATTTGTAAGAAATCTCAAAATCTAACAGCAGCAACAACAACAAATTCTCACCACTCTGGAGTTACTTCTTACTTACAGGACAGAGTAGAACTGTCCCTATGGGTCTCCTAGGCTGTACATCTTTACGCGAGCAGTCTGATCTTTCTCCCAATGGATTCGAACTGCAGGCCTGTGGTTAGCAGTCCAGATGCACAACCCGCCACGCCACCAAGGCTGCTCATAATCTAACAGAGAACGGTCACACAAAAAAACCCCACCACGCTTTCTATAAGAACAGTGCCTTGATTTCTCGCATGACTTAGAACACGTTTTCCAGTTCCCTGGATCCATTATGCCCTCAGCTGGGACAGTGGTGCAGCACACACACACTGGGATCAAAGAACTAACTGCTGGCTAGGCCAAGGTCAGAGGGACACATTGTCAGGTCTCTCAGCCTGTTTTCCTAATCTCAGGCGGTAGCCACAAGTATCCTGGAGGGCGCTGAGACCTAAACTAAGACATGAGCAATCCTTATTACTACAATTATATCCCTGGCTTAGGTGCTCCAATATTTTGTCGACTGCCCAGCTTTTTCCAAGCTGGAGACAAATCTGCACATCCTTTAGAATGCTGTGAACTGGACGGTTAAGAGGGTAGAAGAAGATGCCGCAAGTCTCTAAAAGAAATGACAGATTCGGCAGAGCATGGCCCCTAAGACAATCTTATGCATTAGAATATAATTTATTATAAGGCAGAATAAAGGAATTTATGATTCAACAGAGGCCCACAGTCAGCCTTTTCATCACCATAATGCATAATTTACACTCAATACTACGAATAAAATTTGAGTAGCCTATCAAACGCAGGATGAGTAAAAATCTAGCCGATGGCTTAGAGCAGAAGCAGATGCATAAGTGAAATCTTCCCTTGTGTTGCCCTTTGTGTATTTGACCAGCTTCGTTTTAACACCTCTTTCAACTCGCCCTTGTGCTCCTGAGTCAACTACGGAGCTCACTGTGAAAGCAATGGCCGTGTGCGGAATGTCTACAGTACCAATGAGTGCTTCTTCCGGGAGCTCAGGTCAAAGGTCGTCTGGTAAAGCATCTCCACAAAGGTTTTCAAACAGGGCACGTTCACTTCGTTTTTAACAGCCTGGGCAAGAGGCGAAACACAACAGACAAGAAAGAAAGTGTTTAGACACGTGAGGCCATGCAAGAACTTTCTGTGAGGTTCTACATTTATCCATAATTCACCAAATAGCTCACTGAAGTATGACCATGTGCCAAATGACCACACGCTAATACGTCAGTGAGTCCAACCCAAGCCCGGTCCTGGGAAAACCAGTGGAGGCTACAGACAGGTGAACAGACACTAACTAAATGGTCTAAGAGGTGCTGGAGGGCACTGTGGTGGCACAGTGAATTAGTTACTGAGCTGCTAAGCCTCAAGGTCAACGGTTCTAACCCCGAAGTTGCTCCTTGGGAGAAAGACGAGGCTGATCGATAGCATAAAGATTTAAAGTCTCAGAGCCTCAGAGCCTCTCTCCTACAGGGTCCCTGTAGTTTGGCTTTGAGTTGGGTAAGAAAACGCTGTCTGAGCTTTAGGAGCCCTCTGGAGGAGGCTCGGAGGGAAATCTGCTGCTGCCAGTCACACCTGAGCTAAATCCATCATCTACATGGCAATAAGCTAAACCAGACCAGACCAAAGTGAAACAAAAAACCCAGTTCTCCCTCTCCCAATTACGCTCGCTGTTCCTGTCATACAACCATACCACTGCCCTGGCCCTCTGTGCTGACCCAGGGTCACTTCTGGCAGGTTCACGCCTCAAGACTTCTGCAACTGTTCTTTCCAGCAGGGGCTCCCCCCACACCCGTTACACTCGCTCTCCTTCAGTGTCTGCTCCAAAGCCACCGTCTTCATGAGATATTTCTTATTGTTCTACGAGAATATCCATTTCCCTAACCCATTGGCAATGACTGCTGGGGGCACAGGGTGGAAGTTCAAACCCACCTAGAGGGTTTCAGGCCATAAAAATTTCAGTCTAGACAATAATATCAGGTAGTTCTTACCCGTGACAAGGGCTGTCTCTCTCTGACTTGAAATCGGCCCCTAATGACAACCCCACTGGCATTCCGCAACCCTTGCCTGCTTACATTGGTTTGTCTGTGACACCCAAGAGTGGGGCATAAGACCTATTTCACACACATCAAATGTCTGTTTGCTGCATCAGAAGGAAAGTCTGTGGGAGCGAGGGGCCTCTCCGGTCTCACTCACTGCTGTTTTTCCTTGTGCATAGAGTAGAACCCGAGCTCCTGAGCAGCGAAAACAGTTAATGCACTCCACTGCTAATCAAAGGGCTGCCAAAGGTCAGAGCTGCCCAGCTGAAGAAAGCAACTGCAGACCAACTGCTGCACCCCCAGCATTATGAATCCCAGAGAGCACAGCTCTGCTACTTCTACTCTGACATCCCCGAGGTGGCAGGAGTCAGAGCCAATGCCCTGCCAATTGGTTGACTTGTAGATTAGGACCAGACACATAACCAGGTTATCTTGAAAAACTCTCGCCTCCTCTCAGTGACAAGCCATGGCATTTTCAACGCATCATCTGCATGTGTGAGCACTGAGCGATTAATCAGGAACACCAGACAGGAATTGGTGCATGTAAATTACGGAGAAGACTGAGAGTCCCTCGAACTACTGAAAGAACATACAAATCTGTCTTGAAGGAAGTACGGCCGGAAGAGTGCTTAGAAGTGAGGTTGGTGAGACTTCATCTCGTGGACTTTGGAGACAGGGCCATCGTGGTTGGTAAAATAGAGAGAGGGTCAATGAAAACGGAGACTCAAAATGAGATGGGTTAGCACAGTGGCTTCAACAGTGGCAATAACTGGGAGAATGGGGTAGCTTCTGGCAGTGTTTGATTCTGTTGAGCCAAAGGTTGCTATGTAAGCGAACCCACTCCATTGGCCTCTGACCACAATCTCAGTAAGACACCTGACAAAACACATTAGCAGACAAGAGGGGCCTTAGTGGCCAAGTGCCATCAAATCGGTTCTGACTCATAGAGATCCCAAGTACAACAAAATGAAACAGCGCCAGGCCTGGCTCCCATCATCACGACTGTTCTTATGTTTGAGGCCATTGCTACAGCCATGGCGTCAATCCATCTTGCCTAGGGACTTCCTCTTTTCCCTGTCCCTCCACTTTATCAAGCACCATGTCCTTCTCCAAAAAACTAGCGTCTCCCCACAACATGTCCAAAGTACATGAGACTAAGTGTCCCCATCCATGACACTAAGGGGCATTCTACGTGTACTCCTTCCAATACAGATGTTTGTCCTTTCAGCAGTCCATGGTATCTTCAATATTCTTCACCAGGACCTTAATTCAATTGCATCCACTCTTCTTTTTTCTTCCATCTTCAATGTCCAACTTTTGCATGCAGGTGAGATCGTTGAAAATACACTGGCTTGGGTCAGCAGCACTGTGGCCCTCAAAGTGCCATCCTTGCTTTTCAGTAATCCGAAAAGGTCTTGTGCAGCAGATTTACCCAATGCGATGCACCGGGTGATCTCTTGAGTGCTGCGTCCATGACCATTGATTGTGGAGCCAAGCAAGACAAAATCCTTGACAATTTCAATCTTTTCTCCATTGATCATCATGTTTCCTATGGGTCCACTTGTGAGGATTATGCTCTTCTTTACACTGACTTGTCATCCATATCGAAGGCTGCAATCCTTGAGCTTCATCAGCAAGTACTGTAAGTCCTCCTCATTTTCAGCAAGCAAGTTGGTGTCGTCTGCGGATCGAAGGTTGTTAATAGGCCTCCCTCAATCCTGATGCCACATTCTGCTTCATATAAGCTACCTTTGATGATCTGCTCGGCAGATTAATAAGTATGGTGAGAGGATACCACCTTCATGCATACCTTTCCTGATTTGAACCCATGCGATATTCCCGTGTTCTGTTTACACAACTGCCACAGGTTCTGCATGAGAACTGCCATTCTTCTCAAGGCATTCCAACAATGATTGTGATCTACACAGTAAAGTGCCTTTGCATCAACAATAAAACACAACTAAACATCTTCCTGGTGTCCTCTGCTTTGAGCCAAGATCCATCAGACATTAGCAATGCTATCCCTTGTGCCATGTCCTCTTCTGAATCTGGCCTAAATCTCTGGCAACTCCCTGTCAATGTACTGCTACAACAATTGTTGGATGGCCTTCAGCAAAACTTTACTTGCATGTGATATCAATGATATTATTCTATAATTCTGCTGGGTCACCTTTCTTTGGAATGGGTACAGACATGGATCACTTCCAGTTAGTCGGCCTGGTCTTCCAATTATTTGGCAGAAATGAGTGAGTTCTTCATTGCTTCATAAGCTTGTTGAAACATTTCAATGGGCATTCCACCAATCCCTGGAGCCTTGTTTTTGGCTAATGCTTCCAGTGCAGCCTGAACTTCCTCCTTCAGCACCGTTGGTTCTTGCTCATATGCTACCTCCTGAAGTGGTTGAAGGTTGACGAGTTCTTTCTGGTACAGTGACTCTGTGTATTCTTTCCATCTTCTTTGGATGCACCAGTCAATATTTTGCCAAAAGGCTCTTTCAATCTTACAACTTGAGGCGTGCAGTGTTTCCTGATTTATTTCAGTTTAAGAAATGCTGCGCGTGTTCTTTCATTTTGGTTTTCTAATCCTAGGTCTCTGCATATCTCATTAGAAAAACTTGACTTTGCCTTCTGGAGCTGCCCTTTGGAATTTTCTGTTCTGCTCTTGGACTTCACCATCTCTCCCCTTTGCTTTAGCTCCTCTTCAATTAAGAGCCAGTTTCAGTCTTCCTGAGACCCACTTGGATCTATTCATTCTTTCCTGTGTTTCTAACAATCTTGGGCTTGCTCCATAAATGAAGTTCTTGATGCCATGGCACAGCCGATCAGGTCTTCTGTCCTTAGTGTTCAATGCAGCAAGTCTGTTCTTGAGATGTTCTGGAAATTCAGGTGGGATAGACTCAAGGTCACATTTGGGCTTGTTTTCATTTTCTTCGACTGCCATCTGAACTTATTTGTGCGTAAGCAGTGGTCTGCTCCAGTCAGCCCCTGGCCTGGTTTTAGCTGCTGATATTGCGGTTCTCTATCGCCTCTTCGCAGAGATGTACCAAAGAGGAAGGGATGGGAGCAGAGGGAAGAGGGCTGCACAGAAGCCTTTGAATGGTCACAGGTATCCCCCCTCAAATATTCGGGGCTAAGAGAAACTATCAGAAAAAAACAGAGAGAACAGTGCTAGGCTCCCACTAAGGAAAAGGAACCAGCTCTCGTTCTACCAGCTAGACAGGAAAATGGCAACTTCCAAGAAGCACTGGGAAGAAACAAAATGATTTGGCGTAACAGCTCTGGTCCCTTTCTTTCTCCCGAGGAGCATCTGATGGGTTTGAACCCCCGAACTTGTGGTTAGCAATCCCAATATTTAACCCAGTATGTCACCAGGGCTCCGTAAAGAGTCAGAGTAGCAGCTTTGCCGAGGTTACTACAGGTAATGGCTATTGCTGGCCTATGGAATTCCACCCTCATAAAAGTGTTTCCATCTTAAGGGCCTAGGTTGGTCTTTCAAGTAGAAAGCTAATCAGTGGTCATCCTGCTAGCTAGCTATTAACCACGTGTACAGCTCATGCACATGTTCCACTTACTTCCATTTCTGATAAGATTACCAGAAGGTCAGAAGGTTTCACACAGCACCTTCCGTCAGTATAGGAGACTGACTCTCGAGACACAAGAAATAAGAAGAGCTCTTCAATGGGCCCGATTGCTGCGCGGGTGGAAGAACCCAGATAAGACTTGCAGAGATATCGATTTGAGAAGGAGAAACTGAGGGGCTGGGTGGATTTCCTCAATGGAAGAGTGTTTTTCAAAACAAGATAAAAATATACTTACAGCAGCGACAGGGATAAGGATCTCCACAAATAAACCGGCAAGTGCATGTTTTATATCTTTATCTTTTACTTCTAAAAAATACTGAGCACATTCCTTGAGGGGAGAAGAAACGAAAAGTCTATTAGAGGACTACCATGAAGGAACATGGGAGACCCAATACTCTCTGTGCACGCTCTTTGCTACTTTACACAGCTTGACAAAGGACCAGTGTCTTCACATGGAAAGAATTTTTTTTTAAAGGCAAGCGTTTCACACCCGTGGAATATAATACGCAGAATAAGAGCTGAACTGATCCCGATGTCATTTATGTCTGTTTTGACTCTCTTGAAGGGTCATGAGGATCACGAGCAGCCAGTACAGGTGAGGTCTGTCTACGCACCTGCATAAACTGAAACGACGCTTCAAAATCTTCCACAGGATACATTTTCACTCGGAAAAATTTCATCCCCATGATCAAGCTGATGACACTTTGTACCACGTGTGGGCTTTGCTCCTTTTGTCGCAGCTCTTTTAACTCTGTCACAAACTTCTTCCTCACGGCCTGAAACCTTCAAGGAACACGGGTAGGGGGTGAATGGAATGGAAAACACCCGTGGCCCACAGGACATGGACAGAGGAAATGACGAGGTGCTCGACTAAAAATGAAAACGCCCTCCAGGCTGAGCAACAGCATGTCCCGTGCACCTCTCTAGAACACCGTGTCCCTATCCGTGCCAGCTGCCACGCAGCTGTCCTGCGCCAAGGGCAAGGCCGTGTCCACAGGGCGTTCACTGGCAGATTTTCTGAAAGCAACCTCCAGAAAGAGACGCTCTTCCCAGTCTCTCTCGTCCACACGCTCTCCTGACACCTGTTCGGCATCACAGGGGCACACAATCCTCCACTGACAGAGGGGCAGTGGCTGGGCTGAGGCGCAATGTTTGGGGACAGGATAGCTCAGGGCCCCTCATAGAAGTAAAAAACCGTACCACTGACCCACAACGAATCATTACTATCATGACCACACTACATTTGAGTAACTTACGTATGAAATATACCCACGTAAACCAGGAGGTCTCCAAACCTTCAGCCTGCTTTTTATAAAGTATGCAATTTGAGTCAGAGGCAGAGCGCAATGGAACACTCTCCAATCTAGCGGTCAGCTGATCTATTGATAGTGTACTAATTCTCACCTAAGAACTCACTAGAATGCAGACAGGGGGGTCTCGTGGCCTAGTGTGTTGCAGGCTGAGCTGCTACCAACAAGGCTGGAGGTTCAAGCACACCACCAGCCAGCCCCTCGCTGAGGGAAAGAGGGGCCGTGTGCTCCCATGAAGAGTTACAGCTTCGGAAACTCGTCAAGGCGGCTCTGCTCTGTCCTACAGCATCACTGCGAGCGGGCATCTACTGGATGGCTGAAGAGAAGAGGGGAGACCACGGTTTCACTGTGTGGCTAGGCCAAAGAATCCCCAAAGGCCCCCAGCTGGGGATGCTGGTAAATTTTTCTCCACTTGCATTGGTGCCTTTGAAAAAGGTATCGATTAGTTTACTAATCAATACTACTTGTTGTCCCCTGTGTAGAGTATGGGGACAGTGCATGGCACCCATGGTTAAAGGCTCAGCTATGAACTGAAAGGGTCGTGATTGAAATCCATCTGGGAGAAAGGCCTGGCACTGTGGGTGTCTAGCCCTCCCAACAGTGGATGCCTGAGGGTGTTCAGTTTCATGCTGCACACCTGGGGGGTCACCGTGAGTGCAGAGTACCCCTGGAAACGCTCTCTGCCTCCTTTATAAAGTCTGACAAAGTTCGAGACAGCCTCCAGTTAGAAACAACAAATGAAGCCATCGCACACATGTGAAATTGCAGGCCTGCAGTAAGAAAGGAATCGACAATGATAACAACTACGGTTGGGGTGGTGTGAATTTTATAAATGTATTTGGAAACAACTACCGATCCTACTGTTGATAACACCGGAGGAAACCTGCCCCAGAAAGCACGAGAGGGAGGAGGAAAGGGAGAACGGACAGACTGATGACTAAATAATCCCAGTCAAAGGGAACAAGTAATAGAATGGCAGGTGAACAGATACACTGGCATCAAATATGGGGGGAAATAACAATAATAGTTAATACAGTAACAAGAGTTCTTAGGGGAGAGGGTGGGGATAAAGGGGAGCTGACACCAAAAATGCAAGAAAGAAAATGTTTGAAAATGATGGTGGCAACAATTGTATAATCATGCTTGATCTAATTGAACTGTGGGTTGTTATACTATCTGTAGGAGCTCCCAATAAAATGTAAAACACAAACAAAAACACAAACAAAAAGAAAGCACGAGGGGCTTCAGATGATGCATGTTTTCAGGTGGTCCGAGTCCCCAGGGGAGAACAACAGTGCACATTAACGAAGCAGATACACACCCGTGCCCCTGCCGTCAAGTCTGTTCCAACTCAACAGAAACACGACAGCCCCGGGCAGAGTTGCTCCCCAACATGTCCAAGGCTGCAAATCTTGACAGAAGCGTTTCCCGTGGTGGTGGTGGTGGTCATGGTGGGGGTGGGGTCTCAGCCCTGCGAACTTGGTCAGCAGCCCGATACGTCACCCACTGCACCACTAGCACGCCTTGGATAAATGATCCGCCTCCCCAAGCGTACAGTCCATTCCCACACACAGCGACTCTACAGAGCAGAGCATCGCTATCCTTTGGGTTTCCAAAGCTGTGAAGTCTTTGCACGAGGGCACAGCTCATCTTTAGCTTGTGGGCGGCTGGTGGAGTCTAACAGCTACCTGGCAGAGAGCAGACTAACACCCAACCCATTACCCCACCAGGGCCCTTGGACACAAGATGAACCAAAAAACTAAATTCACTGCCAGCAAATCGAATCTGGCTCACAGTGACCCTAATGGACAGGAATAAAACCATTCCTGTTCTGTACATCTTTCTGGAAGCGGGCCACCTTTCTCCCTTCGAGCAGCTGGCGAGTTGCTACTCCAACCTTGCAGTTAGCAGCCCAGCACTTCACCCACTCCGTCACCACGCTCCTTCCGGTACGAGACACCAAAGGGGCGGGCATGCATTATGGACGGATGGTAGGAAACATGATTCCAGTTCCACTTCAATACCGGAAAGGACAAAACCATGTTCCATGAAGACTTCTACAGCACTTCATAAAGGAAGACTTTATAAAGTGCCTAACAGTCTTTTGGACGCATTTCTTTCATTAAATTTCTCATAAAAATGAGTACTACAATCAAAGAAAATGTATCCAAAAAATTGTATGATGCACCTTCCAGCGTTTCCCCAGCCTTCCTCTCCCCTTTCCACGCCCTCAGGGGCAGCAGCTATCTGCCTGGCTCGGAGTCAGTCCATCCACATTCCCCTCATGCCATTGTGTGCATCAAGTAGAAAATACTTCAGTATTTCTCTAAGTAGCATTTCTCTTGCAGTGAGATTTCTGACGCTGAGTATTATGTTTTGAACTTACTGGCTGTTTGGGCTTACTACCCCCATGGAGTGGTAAGATTTATTACCCTCACTAAAACTGGGGTTGGATTTATTCGTGATATAGAGATCTTCTGCAGCCAACTTGCTGATATATTACTTCAAATATCTGCACTGACAAGAGGTAGAAAAGCGTTTTGATAGATTCTACTATTAAAAGAAATGGGATACTTTTCAGATACTTATTTTTGTGTCTATATTCCTGAGCTAGGGATTCATTTTTCAATTGAATATCCTTGAGATGTTATCAGCTAAGTCTAACTCATTACAAATACTCAGCTAAGTTCTAAGCTCTACTATTTCGGTCCCTTATAATATAAGCAGGTCACATATACTATCAAGGATTAAAAAACCCAACTAGTTAAAATATTTAATATTAAAATGGTAAGTACTAGACATTACAATAATTTCACTTGCTATTTCAGAATTTGTGATGACCTCAAGACCAGAGACTCATTTTAAAGGAATGCAAAAAAATTAAAATTGATAGCCTTTTATCTAATGAATTTCCCAGAAGTAAATTAAATGCAAAATCTTATACAGTCTCTAGATTAACCACAAGATACCAAAGAAAAGTATTGGTTTGTTGTTTACTATAATGATAGCTGAATACAATTTAATGAATTTCGCTCTGATGGGAGAACACTTTTAACGGAATTCCGAGCCTGTTTCGGTTCCTCTTTCACATACTGAAAACTCTTGTGCAATATCAAAATAAATACGACGATTAGGAGACAGTGCAATGCTATCTCCAATAGGAAAGTATTCAATTAAAAAGTAATGAAAGTAATTATTAGCTCTGTAAAGCTTTCTAAAAGAAATTATAGTAAGCAAAAGGCACTGCTCATAGAGTTGAGAAAAGGGGATAATAAAAAAGGGGAGGGGGATAAGATGGCATATCCTGACAATTCTGGGTTGTTCAGCAGATTCACACATAAATGGGGAAAAGCTGTGTAACTGAAATATGGATGTTAATTAAAGGGCATCTAAGGAGCAGAGCTACTAAGCAAAACGAGGTGGGAACAGGTTTTACAGTAACGACTAGACAGAAACGGTGACTCTGTAACCCTGCAGCGCTGGTGAATAAAGTAAAAACTGAGCCTTCCAGAAAGCAAATGGAAGCCATTTGCGGTGATTCATCAGCCTTACTTTGATTGGGCAAGAACCCCGATCACCTCCGCATACAAATCTGCGATAATGTGCACGTTCCCGGTGTTGGTTCCCGAATATCTAAAATAAAGGAAATTTCTTGTTACATTTTTCTGCGAACGCTATTTTTTTTATAAATCCAGAAAGTCTCTAATAGAATGGTATATACATTTCTCTGGATAGCCATTTATAGGAGGGCTTTAAAGGACATGTTTTCTGGCATTTCTCGCTTTTAATTTTCCATGAAATTAAGCCTCCCAGTTGTTATGAATCCAATCCGTGGTGGGAAGAATTCTTTGAACAAAGTCCTTCCTATGAGCATTTTGTGTGGATTCATAAGAAATGGGAAGTGAGTTGCTCTGGACTCCTAAAACAACAAATGCCAATGAAAATCCACCTGTTGCTAAAGAGGCGAAATCTGGACAGCCGAGAGAAGCCGCAGCCTCAAATTAATATCTTACTTACCCTTCCTTATGTTTAAAGTGCTTGAAAGCTAAGTTTAGAACTTCGTGAACTAAAGGATCAGGCACGGGATGCACAGGAATCTACAATTAAAATAAAAAGCAGATAAATAAGAGCTAAAGTTCCTCCCTTCCTGAATGTCATCATTTCAACCAGTCAGTCCACAGGGTTTTCACTGCGTGATGCATGGATTTGAGAAGCTGTCCTTTGTCTCGGCATTTTAGTATTTCCTAAGAATGCAGTCATCCATCTAATTTAATAAGCACCTTTGACATGTAAGAATAACTTTATACTCGTAAACCACTGGGTGATGGACAATGGGGGATTCGCCTGTTACCGCAGCTGTTCCTGTTGAGGGAAATGCACGGATTTCTCTCGGCAGCATCTACAGAAAAGCGAGTTTTGTACGGAGCCGGCCTCATTCTTTACCTCGCCCGTTACTATCAACTACTGTGGTCACAACCATGGAACCCGCTGGGTTTCAATATTTTTAGCTATTTATGACCTCATTGCCATTCGCATTCTGTCCACCAAACATTCTTGTTCAGTTTAATTCTCTTAAAAATGCACGCCAGGTGTGATCCTGAGGTGTCGATGGGAAAAGGTATCCAATGCTCCAAAAATCAAGCAACCAAATCAGTGTGAAGGAGTGTGGATAGAGTGGAGACCCAAAACCCACCTGTAAGATAATACAACAGTGCCTCCCAGAAGGGGTGATAAATCCAGGGTGCAGTATAGCCCTGATGAAGCACATAACCATCCTCTAGTTCTTTACTATTTCCTCCCCTTACATTATGGATTTTATCCATCTTACCGCATTAACTATGTCATACTTACGTTCACTTGTACAATTAAGATGGTTGGATGCATGAAACCCAAGATAGATAAACCTTCAGAAACAGTAACAGCAGTAATGATTCCCTGAGGGAACACAAAGTGTCCCCACAGCCCCCATGGAGCAGCTGATAGCACTGATGACTGTATAACCCCGCTTTAGGGGAGAGAGCAACAGAATTGTACGTGAATGGGCATATTGGATGGTGTAAGATGTGGCAAAAATAAATAAAAATAAGGGGTGGGGCAGGGGAGAGTAAGGGAGGGAGGGATAAAGGAGAGCTGTTATCAAGAAGAAAATGCTTTGAAACTGACTGTGGTAGCTTATACAATAATGCCTGGTGCGACTTAACTATGGGATGTTATGAGAGCTGTAAGAGCTCCCAATAAAATGCTAAAAAAGAAAAAAACAAACAAAAGAGATACCACTAAGTCATAAGCAAACAACAAAAAAAGCGATTCCGATGTTAGCGGAAGTCTCCTCAGCTACAAGATCCAGGCAGGGCTGGCTTGAAGGCTTATTACTTACTTTGAGAAGTCCAAAGACCTAGATTTCTGTGAACCCCCGGAGGAAGGAGGAGGTAGCTTTAGAAAGCGTATTAGGTTCTTGTGGTCACCCACACATGTAACGCAAACCATTCTGAACAGCAACCGCAGCAAAAAAATCATGCCAGAATATGTACAGCAAAAATATTTGAGCCACAAAGCAAATTCTCTCCTCTTCGCATGCGCGCGCACGCACACGCGCACACTCCCTTTCCCTATTTTAACTTCACAGCGGTACGTGCCTTCCCAGGTCAGTACTGCAGCTTCTCCTCCTACAGTAGCACGCCGGTCCTTGACCGTGTCAGTCCTCGACATCATCAGGTTTTGACGCAAAGTGTTGAGAAAACTTGGCATCGGAGCTCAAACAAAGCATCCGAATCTGACCTGACCCAGGTGATGTTTGTAACAAAGGCAGCTCGTGTTTCGTTAGTTGGCCTTGTTGGTATGCGGTTGTTTAAACCTTTTGCAGCTGTGTTCCTAGCGTTTGGGTATAATTTTCTCAGTTTTTTGTGGCTTTTTGTATGTTTTTAGATAAACAACATGGGTCCTAAGAAAGAGTTTTCTGAAGGGAGTCATCATGAAAAGGAACTGGTTAACTGTGTTATCGATATTGTTGATGATCATTTAGGAAACCCTTTTAGAAAAGAGTGAAGGAGACGCCAGCAGCAGACCACATTAGACAGAGTTTTGTTTCATGTTTTTCAGAGAGAGCCAGCCAGGGCCAAGTGGAAAAAGGCAAAGAAGGGGAAACACTCCTGAAAAGCTGCTACCAGTTGATTTTATGGCGGGGATTCCCCTTCCAAGCGATGGCTCTCCGCCCTCCGCTCCACCTGCGCGTCCACAGACCCAGATGCTCATCCAGCTCAGGGCACGGGCCCCACGGTAGCTGTTAGAAATCGTTTTAATGTTGTGTTTCTTATTTAAATGATATTATTTAACTCTGAACTTATTTACTTCATTATTTCTGTGTAATGTTTTATATAAAAAGGCAAGGTTAGGGTAAAAACTTGATGGTCGAGAACAGATGAATCAGTTTTCAGTTATTTGTTATGGGAAAAATGGATTCAGAACTCGACTGCATTACATCCTGACACTCCTTCCAGAACGGATTAGCGTCGAGGTCGGGGCTTCTACTGTACTTTTTAAATAGCTTAATGCAGGCCATTCCAGATTTCCAATATTCTAACAGCATCTACAGAAAACTGTGTGCGCTGCACATGGACGTGTATGCGTGCATGGAAAGGAGCACAGAAGGAGCACGTGTGTACAAGTGTGCACAAGCAGAGCATACGCGGCCCCTCCACAGAAATCTAGTTCTACAGATGTGCGGGGTCTGTTTTTGATCTTTGTTTTGTTCCATCAGGAGGCCTGATGACGTAATAGGTGATGTGCTGGGCTGGGCTGCTCACCTGAAGGTCAGCAGTTCGAAGCCATCAGCCACTCCTCAGTAGAAAAATGAGGCTTTCGAGTCCTATAAAGACTTTCATGGGAAAGCCTCGTCTTTCTCCCGTACACTGGGTTAATCCTGGGGTTATTGAAAATAGGGCTAAGTCTCAAAACTCCAAAACCAAACTCGCTGCTGTCTGCTGACTCCAACCTGCTGTAAGACTAGACTATTTAAATCAATCGGCCTTCCAGAAATCACTCAGGATGGCCCTACACAGGTTCAAGAACCTTGTAATAATGCAGCACTCTGTTTTACAAGATTTAATCTTCCCGGCCCCGTTTATTATACTATGATGCACTTTTACCCTATTATTTTCCTTATAGAATGTTCAGTGTGTCCTAAGCCAGCGATGGGAAACATGAGCCTATGATTTCTCCCCAAATATTCTTGATCTGCCCCAGTTATGCCTGAAGTCTCCTAATCACATGTCCGAGTCATGCGGGTGTACCGTTTACTGAAGAATAAACAGACGTACTCTCACTCTATGACTACTGCCACCATCAACCCTGCTGGCCTGGCTGTGCTCCTGGCTCCAGGAGTCCTGGTGGGGCAGTGGTTAAGCACGCTGTCACTCACCGAAAGGTCAGCAGTTCAAGCCCTCTGACAGAAGAAAGATGTAGCGGTCTGCTTCTATCTACTTTCATTTAGGACCCCTCGGGGCAGTGCACCTCTGCCTCATGGGGGTATTCACGAGCCAGAATCAACTTGCAGCAATGAAGTTAGTTATTTTTCATTTTCCGTTTTGTTTTCTTGCCAGAATCTAATTAGACATTTTTGTACACATTATCAACAACATATATGACATTAGAATGCATGTAACAGCCTCCTGTTTTACAGTGAAAGAAGGGAAAAGGTCGGAAGTCAGTACTTCTTTAGACGGCAGTGTGTCCTGGTTTCTGACAGACGAAAGACACATTTAACAATGACAACCAGCCAGGAAAGAACGTCTTTAGCCCCATCAGGTGACAGTCGGAGGACAGAGACGGAAGCTGAGAGAGGGGAACGAACACAGTATCTCCTCTTCAATGAGTGTGAGAAACAAATGGTACCGCCTCTATCAACTGTATTCAAAGAATACTTATTTTTAAAACAAAATCATTCCAAGTTAAAGTCCGCCAAAATCCCTGTTTCTCCTGGAAAACTGAAGCCAAGGTAAGCTACGGGTACTAGGAGTCAGTGAAGTTCATTGATCAGGCAAATGATGGGCGGTGAAACAAAGGAAAGTAAGTTTAGGCCTAAGCAAAATTCAAAGTAGCCCGTGTCGTGAGCCTTTTAACCACAAAAACCTAAATCACTGCCACTGAGTCGACTGCAACTGACAGCGGCCCTGCAGGACAGGACAGAACGGACAGGACAGAACGGGCCCTGTGGGTTTCCGAGCTGTGGCTCTGACCGGGAGCAGGAAGTCCGCTTGGCAGAGACAACCTGAGACGCGCGGCCCAACGTGCCACGCACTGCGCCACGGAAGCATCTCCCCGAACCTCGAGATGCACATTACATCTGAAAATGCTCAAGGCCCTCTCAGCAGATAAAAGGGCCCCACCATGCTGGTGCCCGTAACATTAAGCCAGGCGCTCACAAAGTAAATGGCTCACAAACTGGAGGTTTCCCAACTTCTTGTAGGGTTGGTAGCATAAAATGTGTGATTGCCACTCACTGAAAAGGGAAAGTTGCTCCAGATTTTCCAAATACTGTATGACTACTGGAGGGTCCCTGGTGCACGGAGGGTTAAGCATCTGGATAGGCTAAACACAAGGCCGGGTATTTCAAACCCAGCAACTCCTTCTTGGGAGAAAGATGAGGCTATCTATTCCCATTACGAAGGAGGAGAGGAGCCAGTCAGGTGCAGGATAGCACTGATGCAACATACAGCTTTCCTCTAGTTCAGCGGTTCTCAACATATGGGTCACGACCTCTTTGGAGGTCGAATGACCCTTTCACAGGGGTCCCCCGATTCATAACTGAAGCAAAACTACAGTTATGAAGTAACAACAAAAACAATGTTATGGTTGGGGGGGGGGGTCACCACAACACGAGGAACTGTATTAAAGGGTCACCGCAGTAAGGAGGTTGAGAACCACAGCTCTAGTGCTTTAATGCTTCCTCCCCCCACTACCATGACCCCAATTCTGTCTTACAAATTCAGCTAGACCAGAGCATGTACACTGGTACAGATAAGAGCTGGAAACACAGGGAATCCAGGACAGACAAAACCCTCAGGACCAATAATGAGAGTAGCGATACCAGGAGGGGAAAGGCTAAGGTGGGGGGAGAAATGGGGAACCAATCACAATGATCTACCTATAACCCCCTCCCAGGGAGATGGGCAACAGAAAAGTGGGTGAAGGGAGACATCATCGGTCAGTGTAAGGCAGGAAAAAAAAATTTATAAATTATCAAGGGTTCATCAAGTAGAAAGAAAATGTTCTGAAAATGATGATGGCAACGTATGTATAAAGGTGCTTGACACAATGGATGGATGGATGGATTGTGATAAGAGCTGCACGAGCCCCCAATGAAATGGTTAAAAAAAAAAAAGAATTCTACTCTGTCGCGTAGTGTAATCAATTTGATGGTGGTGGTGAGTATTGCTATTTAACTATTTGAATCATGAGTTCTGAAGGCGTATAGTTCTTTGTCATCAAATACCAATGACTCGAATTTGAAGTTGACCATGATCCCAGAATTACCCTCCTGGTTTAAATTAAAATATAAAATAGTCCTCCATCACCTTAAATTAGTGTTGCCATGGTGAACACCACGATTTAATCTCGACATATTTATGCTAACTTCACTCTTTGTGTCACTTGTCACGGCTACAACTTTAACCTCCATTAATACGACACCGATCCCTTCACCTGTTCCTTCAGCACTAGTTTTACCAATCGGAATAAGACTAAGTTTTATTCTTCAAGAGTGAAAACGCGGAGTGGAAAAGCAAACTAGCATCATAGTCGTTGGCAAGGGACTTCCACAAAGACCACTGCGTCCTCTGTAAAATGAAAGCAACAATTTTGACTTTCCATGTGTCAGACATGATCACATTTAATAATCCTCAAGAGACAAGCCTCGTCCCTATTTTGTAGGAGGGGAAAGAGGTAATGGGCAATACCTTGCCCACAGTTATATTGCGAGGTAAGTGGTGCAGCTGGCATGAGAATGTGTGTTGACTGTAACAACTCGCTGATAAAAGGCATGTGAGGTCTCTTGTACATAATGGAGAGTTCAAAGCCTGTGCTGGAATCGGCGGATGGCAACTAATACCACCACCCTAGAGCCGAAGACGAGCGAGCATACTGTTCACGGCAGAGCGTTCCTGTTGGGTCAGGGACTCTCCCACCAAGACTCCTCAGTAAACACCGTGCGCCAATGCCGACCCACTCCGAGGGCTGCCCGTCGGGCGGCCGAATGAAACTGAGCCCAGCTCTCGCGTGAATATAGTATGTGAGGCCAGAATCCAAGTCCAAGCAGAGTCAAGATCAATGATTCTTTCTCTCCTGGATCTATTGATAGCATGCCATTTGGGCAGGGAAGGAAATTAGTTTGTCATGGTTTTTATTGACTGTTAACTCATTCTCTGCAGTTTTATAAGTTTGGCAGGAGTTCAAGAGTTAATTTTCGCTGGAGGGGGGATGACTCATGTGTAATTTAATACAAACTAAATTATGATTCTGTTATGAAATATGGGGAGGCTTCAAAGCTTCCAGGGGATAATGGAATGGAAAGCTAATGGAACGTTTCCATGGACTTGTGGAAGCCTCCTTCAGACAGGCGAGTGTGCACCTACAGGAGTCTCGGGACGGGGAGAAGGGCAGAGGAAGGAGGGGTCGGCATAAAGGGAACTCCCAGCTGGAGACAGAATCCCAAACAGAAGATCATCTATCAGAGCCCCTGCGTTTCCGCTTTCCAGCCTGTGTCCACGGGACGCACTGCTCCAAAAGCACTTGGTGAAGTGGCCCTGGAGAAACCGATGCCGTGAGAAAGGGTTCTTACATTCACAGGCCACGGGCCAATTCCAGAGGAACCCACGTGGCTGGTGGCAAGATGAGCGGCTCAGACTTGCCAGCTGCCCTGTGCCGTCTGCTCCCACAAAGCACTACGCCTTCAGAAACCGTACGGAACAGTTCTCCTCCCTGACCTAGAGGGTCGCGGTGAGTCGAGCAGAGTCCAGGACAGTGGGTTTGGTGTCCGAAGGGGTTGGGCGGATCCTTTTAAAAGGAGGAGTAAGAAAAAGCCATCTACCTAATGGTTCCCAAACTAATGTGGTCTACGACTGCTGTTTTAGCGGGGAAAAACACCAAAATTTACTCAGCAACCCCCAGGGCAATTAAAAATGTTGGTACACTAGCCAACAGAGTCCAGGACCAAGTGCAGGTACCTATTTGGGCAGCACCCCTGGTTCGTTCCAACGCCCGCCAGGGGGCAGAATCACCCACCCGCTTTGGGCAGCACTGCTCTACAGCGAGTTCGTGTGCTGCGGCTCTGGGACTGGTACAAAGGGGGCACTGTTTGCTAAGAGGCTGGTTGCTAGTGGAGGGATGTGGTGAGCTGAGCACCAATGCAGACAAGGCCAATAGACCTGCATCACAAATGGCCCTGGAGGTCAGGGCGGGAGTTTGTAATGTTTCCTGCTGGAAACGGGAGTCCCGGACTGCTTAACTGAGTGAAGCAGCACGCCTGGCGAGATGCCAGGGATCACCCACAAGGAGCGGGAGTCAAAGCTCATTCTGGTTCTAAGGCTGGATCCCGGGGCTCGGCTTTTCCCACCGCACAGCACTCCAGCTCCAGGGTCTTACACACCATCTCAGCTACCCTGGGAGAGCACTGAAATAAAACCTAGCTTGTTAGTGCAACTCCCGGAGGAAATAGTTTGGGGGAAAGGCAAAAGTTAAAGTGATTTTATATTCAAATAACTCATTCAATCTCTTTTACATATTTAAAGTTATTCTTCTTTGTATATTTCCAAGTATCAATTCATTATATTTTTATGTATGTATATGGGGGGGACAGGAGGAAACGTATATTAACGCACTTAATCTAGTTTACATATTTAAAACTGCTTATTTGCAGACTTTTAGCACCACATGAATGTATTTTTAAAAACACAGTTAACAAAAAGGGAAATATATAAATGCTTATACCAGTCAAATATTTTATGTGGATAAGGCCATAAAAAACCCCACTTAGTTTTCACCTCTTACATTTGTTACTGATTCTATATTCCACTTTTATATAAGGCAGACAGTAGTCACTGTATAAGGCACGGATAAGCAAAGTGAGTGCTTTGAAGATTTCCTAACTTCTTTTCAAGGACTCTTGGTGGCACGGTGGGTTAAGCGCTGGGCTGGTAAATACAAGGGAGAAAGTTGAAAACCCTCGACCTCTCCTCAAGGAGAAAGGGTTCTGCATCATGGAGACATGGTCTCGGAAACCTACAGGGACAGCTCTCGCCTGCTCTGTAGGCTCGCAATGAGTCAGAGTCAACTCAATGACAGGTGTTTTGCTTTGTTGACAGGGTGAGGGTAACTTTTTCCCCAGAAACATTGGTGGCAGAGAGGCTAAGTGCTCAGCTCCTAACCGAAAGAGCCCACCAGGGAGAAAGATGGGGCAATCAGCTTCCACAAGGGTCTCCCTGAGTAGGAACCGACCCAGCAATTCAATATGGGCAGCTGTGATGTAAACAGACCATGCCTGGGTGCTAGAGAACTTTGTCAGGACTGTGCTGCTGCTGTTTCTGTTAGTTGCCAACTTGAGTCTGACTCAGAGCGAACCGCTGGTGCTGCTGGGTAGATACAAACGGCCAATCTTTGGATCCACAAACCCTTTGGGCAACCTAAGAGCCTTTTAATAACAAAATGAAACAAACAATGTAAAACAAAAATGACCAGCTTAAAAAAAAAAGCTGTCCAAAAAAACCCGGCTGGAATGGATATGCATTCTTGGGCTGATTTTGAATAGTTGAAATATATGACGGCACCTGACACTGCATTATTTATATTGTATTGCCTTTCTGTCCCATTCAGACAGTAGCTCATATATGCAGCACCCAGAAGGACACGAGGGCACAGCAGGCATTCAAATACTCACTAAAGGAATGAATATTTTCCCTTGCATGAAAAAGCCATTTGCGCTTGGATAATTCAATCTTAACCCTGGTCAAATCGTTCTCATTCCTCAACTCCGTGTAATTATGACAGGGTGGCATGCGGGCTTGAGGGCTGAGGCAGGGGAACTCTTTGAGAATGGAGGCAAAAAGGGATTCGAGTAGGTGACCGGACAGGCAGAACATATTCACAGCCCAAAGCCAATATTCAACACAATGTCCTCGCCGCTCCTCCTGGTTAACGGGATTTCCTGTCTCCGATGGCCCACAAAGCCCAAAGAATAGGGCTATGGTGACCAGGCACAAAAGCCGGAGGCATCTGAAAGATGGGGAGGGACATCATGGTGACTGCGGAGCCTGCACGGGCCAGAATCGTCGCCACAACATCCTCAAGAAAGGACCTAAAACAAGGAAGTTTCACAAGCAAAACCTAAGTAGAGACGGTACAAAAACAGATGCGCTTACCTGCTTTAGAACTTCCACTAACACTAAACAAAAAATGAAATCGACGGCTAGGTCCCGCCTCTCAAGAAGATAATCTCTTTCACGTTGCTGCTCATCCCTGAAACGAGAACCCAAATCAAGATTGCCTGAACAGTGTCCACTGTGAAGGAGTCTTTGGCTTGGCGGTCATAGTATTTCCCGGGTGCCTTCTGGTGTGCAGCTGGGGTGGCGAGTGCCCGTTAGAATCACGGCTGCCCACCCTCGCGTGCACTTACTCTGTGTTCATACGCACGGGTCACTGTTGCGTCTTTCGGAAATGAAATCTAATCTGACAGAATTATTCAGGAGGGCTGGGGGAGAGCCTTAAGAATGGATGGAGAAAGCCTCTCCCCGCTCCTTATTTGAGTAGTAGTCTTTGTTCAGTCACGGGAACTGAAGCAAAAGCAGGAACCTCTCTAGCGGAGCAGACAGGCCCAGGAAAGCTTCGCACAGATTAATCCAGGTGGCGGAATCACCAGTGGCACCTACTGAAGCGCCAAGGGGAGACCCTGGCAGGACGCAGGGAGCGCACGTAAGGACGTTGTACACAACACCATGCTCTCCCACCAGGAGACATCTGTGGCAGGAGAAGACAAACCCGGGACGTGAGTAGCAAGAGGAGGGGCTGGTAACCTCCAATGGGGTGGACCGTCTTGCTACATCACAACCCCAGCTTCCCTCCACCATCCTCCTCAGTAGAACGCCTGGGAAATTCTGCTTTACGCTCTTCCACGGTTACAAAGATCCTCACTGGGCATATGAAATTTTGTTTTGAAATTCGTAACTAGTCCCATTGAAGGAAAGAGCTTAGAGCTGCAGCTTAGCTGGACTGGTTTACAGGTTAAGGGTAAACGATACTTCCCCCTCACGGGCACCTTCTGGCCAACAAAAAATGATCTGTTGTAGTTCCTACCCCCACCCTCTACCACCCCCAGAAACCAAACATCAAGACTCTTTGATAACTTTAGTACCCCCTTCACTAGAAGTGGTTCGATTCCAGACAGAAGAGTAAATAAATAACTTACCCCTTTGATTTTGTGCTAGATCGGGGTCTATACTCGTAGGATTCATCTTCAGCTCCATTCTGGCGTCGGTACCAATCAAACAAGGTGCGAAGTAAGGAGGGGAGACAGTGCTCTGCTATGGAGCTCATAGAGCTTACCACCTGCAAGCACAGGGAGAGGGTCTCACCCACCGCATGCATCACACCCAGACTCCAGTGTAGACATCCCTGAGCCACGAATCACCGCAGTAACGCCAAGGTCAGTAACGATGGTCTAACACAGGACAAGGGACTTAGCCAAGTAAAATCTGCTAAATGTTACCCACTATCTAACTTTCTCCAAATACCGCTCGTGGAGCTCAGTGGCTTCTGGCCATTTCCCTTCCTCCTAATGCCCCGCGTGTACAAACATGCCCATCGGGGACACCCTGGCTGCACGCGGGGACCTCGAGGAGAACTGTGAGGAACGCAGTGGAAAACCATGTGTGTGCCTGAGCCTGCCATCTCCTCTCATGTGCACGAAAGAAAGAGGTACAGAGACTTGACGACTGTACTACATGAGGACCATGGGGGGATGCTCCAACTTCCTTTATAGTGTTAGGACCGAGAGGAGAGAATGACTTCTGAGTTCCACAAATGAACATACGTGATGCAAACAAGCTCTGAGAGCTTATGAGAATGGTCAGTGGAGAGGTGGTGGGCTGAACAAGGTATCGCTCAAAGGGAGGAACGGCTGAGCCCATCTCACTTTGTTTGCCAGGACCATCACCGACTGGTGTCACCAGTGAGCCTTCATGGTGAGCACTCCAATAGGGGGGAGGAAAAATGATCTTCGCAAAAATTTCTGTATCGGGCTCAAACTACTGTTTATCAAATTAGCATTTTAAAATCAGCACATTGTCAACATGGGCCTTTTTGTTTGCTTTCATGAAAGAAATAAGGGTGGTAAGGATATTCAAGGTGCCTTCGTGCTTCCTGAAGAGTCCGTTGTTGTTATTGGTGTGCATCACCACGTAAGTTCCAACTCAACCTACCCGTGCGCCACAGCCTGCTGGATTTGAACCCACGGTGGCATCTACCCAACTCCTGGAAGGTCTGCCTCCTTTCCTCCAACCATCAAGCAGGCTGTCCTCCTTCAGACACAGATCTGTCAGGACAATCGGCCCAGACGATGCAGGAGGAAGCCTCCCCATTCTCTTCTCAAGAGCTCCTGCTGACCTTGAACTTCTTCCCAGATGGGTGAGTTTTTCTGGCAGTCCACACTCCATTAATCTTTGTCCCCAACTCCGGAAATCAATTCTTCTTTGGTCTTCCTTATTCATTCTCCAGCTTTTACATGCAGATGAGGCGATTGAAACCGGCATGGCTTGGGTAGGGTGCTCAGAGTAACAACTGTTTTTTGACATTTTATAGAGGTCTTTTGCCACCGATTAGCCAGTGCAACAGCGTGTTGAGTGATTTTTGTGACAGTTGTATCCACTGGCATTAAATATGGATCCAAGTAAAATTAAATCCTTGACCATTTCAATATTTTATCAAGCTATCATGAGGTCACTTGCAAGGGCAGTGAGTGTATTAAATGCGGCTCTTCTAGCCAGTCTCTCTAACTCCCACCATGAGCCTGGTAAGAAAGTGGAGGAAGATACAGGATTCACCTGTGAGTAATTGCAAACCAGAATCCTTGCAAAACCATCTTGCTGCATAGATAAGGAGTCCTCTGAGAAGCAGGAGGAAGAATCTCATTACCAGCCAAGAGTCCAGAGGGGGAATGCACTCGCTGAACCCAGAAGACAGCTACAGCATCAGAGCAGCAGCAGCAGCAGCAGAACCGGAAGCCAGAGCGGTGGATTTCCCAAGCCACAGAGCAAGTGAAACCGTGTTTTTGTAAGAGGACACTTTGTGGATTGGAGTGCCTCTAGGCACTTAACTCAGGGAGCTGGGTTCCTAACCCTTGGAGCATGAGCTGAATGCCTTCAGGTGGGGCTTGCAGCAGTGTTATGTCCCTAACGGCATTTATCAGCAGACCTGAAAGAACTTTGTAACATCCTGATAAGCAACTCAACTGAGCATCTCTCAGGGGCATTACAACTAGTTAACTTTCTTACTAAATCCTATCACCATGAACAGTCTGTGAGCCCTGTGAAGCCATTGAAATGGGTATTAGAACCCAGAGAGGTCAAATAGGGAAAAAGAACTAAGACACATCACTTGCTCATCCATTTGTGAGGGTGTTTGTTTTCAGTCATCTGAAATCCCTTTCAGTTATTTGGTAATCCCTCCCAAAGGCCGGTCTTGGATTTTCATCTGTTTAAGTCTTTGCTTTCAATGAGCAAGGTTTGTGTCACCTGCATATCAACGGCTGTTAATGAGTTTTCCTCCAAGCCTCATTCCACGGTGTTTTTCATACAGTTCAGATTCTTGGATAATTTGCTCATCGTGTCAATTGAGGCGAAAGGATACAACCCTGACACAAACCTTTCCTGATTTTAAACATGCACCATCTGGTTGTTCTCTGAAATAACTGACTTTTGGTCTATACACAGGTTCCACAAGAGCATAATGAAGTATTCTGCAATTCTGATTCTTTGCAATAACATTATTCATATTTTCTTACGGTACAGTCAACTAACTTTGCATAGTCAACACAACAGAAACATCTTTGTGGTATCCTCTGCTTTCAGCCAAGGTCCATATGACATCGGCAGTTATATCCCGTATTACATTTCTGACAGTTACCTGTTGATGTCCTTACATGTGACGTTAACGTTGTTCAATAATATCCACTTTCTTTTCAATCACAACACGGGAGGAAATATGCATCTCTTCTGGTCATTTTGCTCGTGAGCACTTCCAAATTTCTTGGCAAAGAAAAGTGACATTTCCAGCACTGGGTCACTTGTTGAAATACCTCAGTCAGCATCCCGTCACTTCCTAAGGCCCTGTCTTGCTAATGAGCTCGGTGCATTTGGACTTCTTCCGTCAATACCATCAGTTTCAGGCCTTCCGTCCTGATATGGTTAAACACCTACCAACTTTGGGGGGGTACAGTGATTCTGTGTACGCCTATCTTTTGATGTGTCCTGTGTCTTTCAACATTTTGTCCGTAGAATCCTTCAAATGGGCAACCCTAATCTTGAATTGTTTCTTTAGTTCTCTCAGCTTCAGAAATGCCAAGTATGTGCCTCCTTTTTGGATTACTGAACTTTAGATCTTCACACATTAGATGATGTGACTTTACTTAGTCTTCTTAAACTATCCTTTGAAGTCTTCTGCTCAGCTCTTTACCTCAGTGTTTGCACCTGGGTTAGCTGTTCTCTACTCGAGAGCAAGTCACTGAGTCCTCTAGTAAATATCCGTTCTTTGGCTTTCTCCCCTCGCTTTCAATGAGTTTTTGCTTCCTCCATATATGATATGCTCTATGCCATCTTACAACTCGTCTGAACCGTGGTCCCTAGTGTATAATGTGTCAAATCTATTCTTGAAATAGTCCGTCAATTTAACATTCCAGGTAGCTCATATTCATCATTTAACTGCAAAAGGGAGCGAATTCAGTAAAAATGAAATGGTTTATTTGACTGTGTAGTCAGTGCGCTTTTACTTTCCTGTGTCCTGGACAAGGGCATTCTGTGTGGTAGAGGATGGGAGAAAAAGAGGACGATCCTTAACAAGACAGACTGACAGAGTGGCTACAACAATGGGCTCAAACACCGAAAAGATTCTGAGGATGGCGTGGGATCAGGCACTGTTTTGTCCTGTTATACATTAAGACTGCTATGAGTTGGAATATCCGTGACCTCACAACATTCTCTCTATTCTCTTTTCATCATTTAATTTATAAATTACCATAACTTGTCAGGTACTGATTTCTATTATAGGAAATTAAAGTGAAAACAAGATTCTAATTTCATTTTAACCAAGATATTCTAAAATCTGCATTTTCATTAAGAACGAACAGTCTCATTCAAAGGAAATCCTTTTTGATATCTGAAGAGGAGATAAAACACCATCTGCTGATGTAAACACTTATTAATATAGTATGAAAAAAAAACAAAGCATGTACATTTATGGTCTTTTAAAATAGTTTTAGAAAACACAAAGAAAAAATTTCCTTAAATGATGTTTCAGTGGATTCTAATTCTTGGTTAAATACTCATTTCTGACTGGATTCATGGTGTGAACACTCTTAATACATACGCTAGTGGCATAAGATTTGAAATTATGTAATGTGCTCTTCTGTGATCCCCCAAAACACTCACCACCTAAATACATTGGAACCAATAACACAGCTCATTTTACTTACTTGTATAAACAAAAGTCTAATTACAGAATAAATCCAGTGTGAGAGGATAGACCAGGCCACTAAACAAGGTAGAGGAACTTGTTAAGACTGGACATATTTGGACCAGGCGACTAGGACCAACATTTTTCTTTCAGGAAAAAAGCACGCACTGCAAGTTGATCCGCTGTCAGAAAGCCCCCCACCCACCCCCACCCCCAATGGACGTACCTGGTCAAACTGAAGGTCTTCGCCCCTCTGAAGAGATCTGGACAACAGTTTTTCCTGCAATGAAAACCCCAGAGTTTCATTCGTAAGTAGGGTGCTAAGGGTTCTTAAGTTATAAATTTCGGACGCAGTGTGGGAATTGCACCCGATCTGATCCCGCCACACTGAGGCAAAGCACTGGGGGAGTGCAGCGGAACAGCAGGGGAGGGGAGCAGCAAGATCCCCAGGGAA